CTCCGTGCTGGGAGCCAGGAGCTCGGGCCAGGTATCAAACCCAGGCACTGAGATGTGGAAATGAGCATCTTACTAGGTTAAATACCCACTTCTCTAATACTTTTTTGAAAAATACACTTTTCTGGGGCTGGTGCCATGGCTCACTTGGTTAATCCTCTGCCTGTGGTGCTGACATCTCATATGGGCACCGGATTCTAGTCCTGATTGCTCCTCTTCCAGTCCAGCTCTCTGCTGTGGCCCGGGAGGGCAGTGGAGGATGGCCCAAGTGCTTGGGCCCTGCATCCGCATGGGAGACAAGAAGCACCTGGCTCCTGGCTTCAGATCGGCACAGTGCCGACCGTAGTGGCCATCTGGGGAGTGAACCAACAGAAGGAAGACCTTTCTCTCTCTCTCTCTCACAGTCTATAACTCTGTCAAATAAATTAAAAATAAATAAATAAAAGAAAAATACACTTTTCCAAAGTGTTGTGAAGCTTGAGGGTTACTTGCCAGGAGAGGGGAGGGATCAAAAGCCTTTTGGCTACCATGTAGTTTTTCCAATACCCACTGAGGGTTTAACAGAGTGTGCAAAAAGGAGTGGTAGGTCCAGAAAGAATGGCCTAGTAGCACTGGGGGTCCCAGACACTAAGCAGTGGTGCATTTACATTTTGCACAGAGTGTTTGGAATTCAGGAGCAGAAATGGAGGCATGAATAATAACATAAATGCTGGCAAATCCAGTTTAATAAATGGCAAAAAAATTGAGAAACCCAGCATGCACGTACAGGGCTTACAGGGCATGGAAGGAGCTGGCTGACTCAGAGATGCTGGACCAAGCCACTGCTACAGGCAGGACCTGGCCTGTAAGAAGACACCTGTTTTTCACACCAAGGCAATCCAATTGACTAACAATTCCACACAAAAGCAGTTTGCCTTTACTAATAAACACCACTGCCATGTTTCCTACAAGAGCAAAGTAGAATTGAGATTAAATAGTCATTAGAGCTCAGTATGTGGCTACATTCTATCTTATCAGCTCTCACAATTCTTTGCATGGGTTTCCTCACATGGGGATGTGTTTAGGACCAGAGACTACTTAGCTTACCCATCTTTTTAGTTTTTTTAAGGATTTATTTATTTGAAAATCAGTTACATGGAGAGGAGAGGCAGGTTGGTCTTCCATCCACTAGTTCACCAACCCAGTTGGCCGCAACGGCCGGAGCTGCACCAATCCAAAGCCAGGAGCCAGGAGCTTCTTTGGGTGCAGGGGCCCAAGGACTTCGGCCATCTTCTACTGCTTTCCCAGGCCATAGAGAGGTGGATCAGAAGTAGATCAGCGCCCATATGGCATGGCAGCAGCTTTACTGGCTATGCCACAGCGCTAGCCCCACCCATTTATTTTCAGCCTTTGTTTCCAAATATGTTATCACCGTTAAAGGCCCGATTAACCCAATTTCCTTCTTAACTGAGGACGAGGACCCCCCCCCCCCTTTTTAAAGATTTTTTGGAGAGGCAGAGTTACAGAAAGAGAGGAGAAACAGAGAGAGGTCTTCCAATCGCTGGTTCACTCCCCAAATGGCCACAATGCTTGGAGCTGGGCCAATCCGAAGCCAGGAGCTTCTTCAGGGTCTCCCATGTAGGTTCAGGGGCCAACGACTTGGGCCATTCTCTGTTGCTTTCTCAGGCTCACTAGCAGGGAGCTGCATCGGAAGTGGAGCACCCATACTCAAACTGGTGCACATTTGGGATACTGGTGGCGAAGGCCACACCAGTGTTGGCCCGACCAAGAGAGCAGACAGAGGAAGAAACATTATCTATCCATTGGTTCATACCCCCAAATGCCCACACCAGTTGAGTCTGGGCCAGGCCAAAGTCGGGCACTCCAACACCCACACCAGATCCTCTTATTTAGAATCTTGCTTCAGTAAGACATTGAACAAAATTAAAATACAATTGTAACTTGCAAATCTACAGTAACTAATCCAGATCTCTTTACCAGTGTAGTTTTACCAACACTGTAAAATAGTGAAAAAAAAAATGAACCCTTCATTTAAAAAAAAATTTTGACAGGCAGAGTGGACAGTGAGAGAGAGAGACAGAGAGAAAGGTCTTCCTTTTCTGTTGGTTCACCCCCCAATGGCTGCTGGAGCCAGCGCACTGCACTGATCCGAAGCCAAGAGCCAGGTGCTTCCTCCTGGTCTCCCATGCGGGTGCAGGGCCCAAGCACTTGGGCCATCCTCCACTGCTCTCCCAGGCCACAGCAGAGAGCTGGACTGGAAGAGGAGCAACCGGGACAGAATCTGGCACCCCAACTGGGATTAGAACCCGGTGTGCCGGCACCGCAGGTGGAGGATTGGCCTAGTGAGCCGCGGCACCGGCCGAACCCTTCATTTTGGACTCCACATTGTAAAGTGGTCTGTTTTCCTTTGGTAACTTAAAGGGAAAAAAAATTACCCTGAAACTCACAGTACTTTGCTTCAGCAAAGATTCCATAGAAAATTCCTATATTCTGTTGGCATTTTATCATTTTTAAAGATTTTAAAGAGAGAGAGAGAGATGGATCTGCAGTGCCAGGATGCCATATGGGCACCAGTTCAAGTTCTGGCTGCTCTACCTCCTATCCAGCTCTCTGCTATGGCCCAAGTCTTTGGGCCCTGGCACCCATGTGGGAGACCTGTAAGAAGCTTCTGGCTCTTGGCTTCAGATCAGCCCAGCTCTGGCCACTGGGGCCATCTAGAGTATGAATCATCACATAGAAGACCTCTTTCTCTCTCTCCCTACCTTTCAAATAAATAAATAAATTTTTTAAAAAGGCCATATTTTCAATAGCGTGAGTTTCAATGACTAAATGTACAACATACATCAAAACTGGAGTTTGGCGGCTAAGCAGCTCCGATTCTGTTCTTGAGCATCTAAGTTATCTATCCAACAAAAATATGATGTGACACAGTGGACAGACTGAGGAGCACCAGTTAATTCAAACAACGTAGCTTGGAAAGAATTTTTATTCATTTTTGTTTATAGAAAATTTTTTTCTGGGCATTTTAATTATTATTCGTAATTTGGCTTTCATGACTCAGTAAATGAAACACACAGAAAGGCAAGCAATCAAGTACAAATAGACAAACATAAATATTGCAATAATTTACCATAGTCACATGTGAAAAGCATCTATCAGTCTAGCCAAAACTATACTCACTTTGGTCTATAGTATGAATGCGATATTAATAGCTTCTGGGTCTAAAGTGTATTCTATTCCTATTTCCTTCTTGACACCCAGACTACTTGCGTGGGATTCTTTCTCATACCCTCTTATCTCCAACGGCATTTACAAACCTATTTCATGTTTGCTAACAAACTGTTCTTCAATTTCATACCGTTAACAGAAGGCTGAAATATAAAGAGGAAAAACCTGTAACCATTTGACATAAAACCTTTCAGTAGTTCTTGGGTATTAATTTGTGACATCCATAGAACTTATCAGAAAAAGTTGACCACACAGGTATCATATGAACATCATATACCTGCTTATTCTTACTTGTATTTAAAAATTATTACTTTATATGGAGAGAGAAAAATGGATATAGTGCTCAGTTCAATTTAGCTCTTAAGCCCAATGTTTTCTCAGTTTGCGCACCAGATCTGGTAATACTATCAGAAGAATAAATGAAACAGTACTATCCATGTACTCACTACTTTAAACCAATGTATAGGAGCGAAGCACTATGGTAAGATCTCAATTAAGAACCAAAGTTTTCTTAAGTAGAAAACTTGAGGGGCTGGCTAGAATTAAACCCTGTTAGGGCTGTTCTCACACATCAGCGTGGAAGACTATTTTATGTTAATAAATGTAACATAATATGAATATTTGCCTTAAAAATGTTCTTCTCTTTAAAAGCTGCATTTGTGTAGTCTGTCAGGATAAAGTAATTCTGAAGTGACACATGAAAGTGTTAAGCAAAGTGTATTACTTCCAGCAATTATTGTTAGCATTGCCTGGGTCAGCAAAGCAATACCTCAGGCCCCACCCCAGGCCTCTAAATCTTTAATTCTGTGTTTTAACATCCCCTCCCCCTGCGATGTGATTCAGGTGCACACTAAAGTTTGTACTTACCTCTCTTCCTTGTACGTATATGTACATATTTAAAACTACACAATTTAAGGGTCAAATAAGGAAATGCTTTGTAGTTTTCTAACTGCCGCATCAATAATGGTTAAGACTTCCAAACAATTTATTATAACAACTTGAATAGACAATATGAACCCCAGGTTGCTAAACTGAGGATGTCTCAGCTTATGGTAAAGAAAACCTAGACAGTTAAGAGGTTTAATAGAAATTTCTTATGTGTATTTTCCCAAATACTAGAATACACCAGTTTATACATGTCCAACTCTCCACATGGAATTTGGAAAAACAATAAACTCTGAAAACCTACAGGTTCATCATGAAGCCAACAGCTGATGTGAACTGGCATTAGGCTATTCATTTCATTGTCCTGACTCTACTCACTTTGACCATTTAGACTCCACTGAAGAAATCTTAGTACGTGAACTGGGGTCTTGCCAAAAACCTCCCTGGAGGTTTTCAGATAAGCTATAAAAGATAAATCAAACTCAAAGAAAAGGGAACAGCAAGGGGAATGAAACCTACTTCATCTTCACGCTAACAGTTGCTAAATAACAAAACCTACTGTCTTAGAAGTACTAACTATACAGTAAGTTAAGAAAAAGCAGAGGCATAATAAGCTGCTCAAATAAGGTCTGAGGTTGGTTCGGGGACTGAATCTAAGGATCGACTAGAAAGTAAGTTTGTAAATGGCAAGGGGCATCTTCCTGAGATTTTCCCTTGAGAAACCAGAATGTAAAAGTTACAACACTATATATAGAGGTATTTCCACAGATGCTTATTAGATTCTTCCAAAATAAAGTAAATGGCCTCTTTGAACTTCTGATAACAAGTCATAAAAATCCAGTCCATAAAAAATTCAGCCCATACTTTTAAGTTTTCTAGTATGCACCACACAATTTCAACATGATGCCATTTATTTACAAGAATCTCAAAGAATGAGTCCCCAAGATCAAATATATACATTTTTAATATTTGAAATATTTACATAATGGAACCATGTCATGGTTCAAATTTAAGAACAGTATTTCCAAATGTCCTCTCAAGATGTGTATAAAAAAAAGTAATTCAAGCTTACAGATTTTTCTAACAGGCCAATTTTCATCTTTTTTTCAAAGAAATACTCAGGCATGGAAACAGATCCATCTAATTTGTTTTAAGAACTATTTGAAACTTGATACATTTTCAGGTTAATTTTGCTCCCTAGTGTAATTCTGACGTATCATGAACAAAGCCCCAGGTATGTCTCCAAGCACATCACCAGTCTGTTTTTAAACTTTGATGAAGAGGGATAAAAATTAGTAGTTGGTAACTGCCCTGAATGATTTACTTTATCTTTGGAAATAAGATGTAAACTTTATAAATTGTCAAGCTGAAATCCTACTGTTTTGTTAAACTCTCCTAATCTGAAAACTTGCCTAATTTTATCTTTTGCTTTTATAAAGGTTTCTTCTCACTTAGCATTCAGAATGAAGTGTTGTTTTTTTTTTTTTTTAAACAAAGGGGTATATAAAAATTAAACTAAGGACAAATTAGTGCAAAAAAATAATTAAATAAAACTCTCCAGAATTCTAAGATCTGCCCCATTCCTAGGCAATGAAATTATGAGGGGAAAAACACTAAGATCCACACTCCTTTAAAAGAGGTGAAGCAGCCAGCTATCAACAGGGAAATCCCCTCCTGTCAGTAAACTGTTGCTCACCACAGAAGAATACCAAGATCTGAGAAACCAACAAACTTAATTCTAATAGACATTTGGGTTAGCATGGTATCACCTTCCTTGACAACTCTATTCTTCAATTAGGAAATGTTAAAGGGACATTACCAAAGCAAATTAGGGAAAAGAAAACTTTTACACATACATTCACACGAACACATCCACACAGAGATATAATAGGAATGGATTGTCTAACTTCGCATTCTAATTTCAAATTCCATGCCTTCAGGACGGCTTGCCACTTTTGATCAAAGGAGGGGTAGGAGTGTGGATCTAACGGATATGATTGGTATTCAATCAAAATTGTTCATGTAGGTTCCTATATAGCACAATTCAACATTAAGTGAAATTCTGCAAAAGAACTGGGGAGTCATTTTAATATTTACAAGGAATAAATCAGCAGAACAAGATTATATGAGATAGGCTGTGTACAGCAATTGCTTATAAAACATACCAGTAATCTGTACCTGGTGAGTATAAAGAGAACCAAGGATTCAGATGACTTTACAACCAATGGAGTACACAGGGCACCAACAAATTAGAGGGCAAAAAAATTCACATTTTTCTACATAAAAAAAAATTACAGATCTCACAAATATCTCTGAAGACAAAGAAAAATCCAAAGTCCTTTGAAGAGTGGGAAAGAAGAAATCTGAAATGGAACTCCAAATGTCAAAGTTTTTACTTCACAAGACCAATTTTCTTGGCTTCTGTCTCATATATCAATAATCTCCACATTTTGACTATAAAAACTTCAGCTTCTTCATCAAGTACCTACAAGAGAAAAGACATGTAACACACATAAGACAACAACCATAAGCATCTGTCCACAGTGACAAGTATAGAAGAGGTTTTTATTTATTTACACATTTAGTCCCACTACAGTAAGTTAAAGGAAATCTGGCTCATGTGAGAAATGTATTTATTACATAGCACACATAAACTACAAAACAGCTCATTCAGCAATTCCATGGCTTACAAACACTGAGAATCCATCTTTTATTCTAACTTCTACTTATGAATTTTAATTCCAGATATAAATGCATTTATACTTATCTGACAAAACTACTTTCAAAGAAAAGCAAATGTTTACCATAAAAAAAGTTAATTCAGTAAGAACTAAATATACAACTACCTAAAAACTCAATACAAAATAGCTCTTTTATCCCTCAAACCAATCTTACAATCTCATCTAATATTTAGTAAGGACTTATATAACAGACACTGAATCAAACATAAATGGGAATATATGTAAAACATTTAACATTATGTTTGGGATACAATTTAATCAACACCATCATCATTATAGGGAACAAGACTGCTGACAAACATTTTTTCCATTGGAAGACAAATAAACCCAATTATCTGCCAATCAACTTTTGAGTTGAGTGCCACTCCTGCTCTCCCCCCACACTTTTATCCTCTACACTAGGGTTGCTGTGAGTTATCTAGATTCCTACAAAAGGAGGCATTTGTGACTGAACTTGGGAACACACTGTGCGTTAATTGAATGTGACCTCCTTGTGCAGGTCTTCTTCTTTTTTTTTTTTGACAGGCAGAGTGGACAGTGAGTGAGTGAGTGAGTGAGTTAGAGAGAGAGAGAGAGAGAGAGAGAGAGAGAGAGAGAAAGGTCTTCCTTTTGCCGTTGGTTTACCCTCCAATGGCCGCCATTGCACTTCCCGGGCCACAGCAGAGAGCTGGCCTGGAAGAGGGGAAACCGGGACAGAATCCGGTGCCCCGACCGGGACTAGAACCCGGTGTGCCGGCGCTGCAAGGCGGAGGACTAGCCTATTGAGCCACGGCGCTGGCCTTGTGCAGGTCTTTATAAAGACAGCTGACAGTAGAAATGCAGAGAACTGATCTCTAGTCAAAGTTCTTAGTTTCAAATCCTATTTCTACCTTTTTGGTATGTGTCTTTGACTGCGTTACTCAACATCACTGAATTGAAGCCTCTCCATCTGTAAATTGGAGGAAATGTTGCTACATTGCAGGAACAAGTACTACTGCTGACTAAAGGAGTCAACGTGTATTGAGTTCTCTGAACATAACATTTATACCCAAAAGAAGCCAATGAGAACTTTCTCTCAATTTCTCAATAATGGAAACTACACACCCAGAAATGACCCCGGCTTCAAAACTATATGGTGGGGCCAGTGCTGTTGCATAGGGGGTAAAGCCACCACCTGCAGTGCTGGCATCCTATTTGGGCACCGGTTCGAGTCCCAACTGCTCCACTTCCTATCCAGTTCTCTGTTATGGCCTGGGAAAACAGAAGATGGCCCAAGTCCTTGGTACCCCACACCTGTGTGGAAGACCCGAAAGAAGCTCCTGGCTTTGGATTGGCCCAGCTCTGGCCGTTGCAGCCATCTGGGGAGTGAACCAGTGGATGGAAGCCCTCTCTCTCTCTCTCTGCCACTCTGTAACTTTGCCTTTCAAATGAATAAATAAATCTTAAAAAAAAAAAAAAAACTAACAACAACCAACCAACCAAACAAAAAAAACTATATGGTAGCACTAATTCACATGGAAGTCATAGTTCAGAAATAATACACAGGCACAAAATGAAACCGAAGTTTATTAATTCACTAAAATAAGAAAAGGTATAGTTTGGAACAGTTCTATTTTTAGCAAGAGTGAAATACTGCTTGAGTTAAAAATTGGATCTTATTTATTCAAATAACATTCAGAAGGCCCATGAGCTTTTACCAGGGCTGTTTGACCCACTTCAATCAACAATGAGTCAGAAAAAGAGTACTTAATTATACTCCAAATATCAAACCATTTCATCAGATGCAAGTAGATTAACTGTGACACCACATAAAATCTTCAGACTGGGATTGCAACTCTGACAAGCTCAAAATCTAGGACACTGACTTAAAAAAAAAATTCTTCACTCAGGTCTAACCACAACACCCTCACTCTACTCCAAGGATAGCTTTACAAAGGCTGGAAGCTCATGGAATTTCACAATCTATCCCAAGGACTGAGATCTACTCATCTTTCTCTTTTCCTTTGCAGTTATGCATTCTAGAGGCAACAAATGTTTCACCAATGTCTTATCAGGAATTCTAATCAGTAACTGCATTAAGCTGGGTAGACTTAAAAAACAAATGTTACCTAACTTTAGACATCATACAGTACCTAGACACACAGATCTTGACAGCAAAACTCATTTTGTAACCCAAAGTCCCACTATGCACAATGTCTTTGGCTTCAGCTGAAAATGCCAAGTTCTCCCAAGTCACTGATCCTCACAGACCATGCCTGAAGTTTCTCCTTTCTCCCTGACTCATCATCCCATTGTTCCTTCCTCACTCTGCCCTTTGACTCCTATTCCAGTTTATACTCACTACCCACAGTTTCTTTAATTCGACTTTTCATCTTCTTGCCCTAAGAAATCATGGACTATTCTCCAGAATCCCCACTCCAAGTAAGAGACTGTTGAATCTTCAAGGTCCCTATCCTTGTAAAGAATGTTTCCTGGAAGTCCATGACATCTTACTATGCCACACTTGTTACTGCAACATTACCTAAGTGAATGCTCTGGTACCTGGTTCCAGTACTTCACTTCAATCCCTGTTTCAACACCCAAGCACTGCCCATGACAATAGCTTGTACCACGTCACCATATGGACTGAAGCACAACTTAAAATCTTAAACTTTCACATTCTGAAATCAACTCTTATCAGTTGTTCTAATCCATCACATTTCCCACACCTCCTCTGGAATCACGGGTCTTTAATTCATTCTAACCACAAGCTCTATTCAGGTATTATTTACTGGTCTAACTTTAAGCTCACACTTCAATCATTTTCTCATCTTTACCATCAATTCTCTCTCCTTTTTCTCATTAAAATCATAGGTTAATACATGTAACCAGTAACTCCAATCCAAACTTCAATCAAATTGGGGATTTGATACCTAAGACCCAACAGACACCTATCCAAACAACAAAAGTTATATACACATTAATGTATGACTGAATCCAGGATTTCTGTTTATATGCACAAACAACATATGGAGGGAAGGATGAAGACAGGACTGGTGAGAAAAAAAAAAAACATTTTTATGTATTGGGTAATGACATCTTGCTGTGAGTGACATGAACCTCTTTTAATGCATATTCTAATTTTAATTGAAGTCTATAAAGTTTCTGGAATCAATATATGCAGAGAATGTACCTGCTTCATTAATTTCATTCAGAAATCAGGTTGTTGACAAGGATATTAAAGTTTAATTAATGACAGTGAATTTCTAACTTACCATGGCAACATCATCTAAAATGCTCTGAGGTGAACTATGAGCCATAACCTAAAGAAAACAAATATTTCGTCATGTTCAAAATAAACAAAAACCTAGCAACATAGACAATAAATTTTAAAATACAAATCCTCAAGCTGACATAGAACTCTCCTATGGCTTAAGGACCTCTCTATAATTTTTTTTTTTTTTAAGAGAGCACACTTCAAGGAAACAGTGAGTAATCAGGTCAGGTAGGAGCTGACTACTGCTCTTGATAAACTTTTTAAATTTTGAAATCTTGGGGCTGGTGCTGTGGCGTAGCAGGTAAAGCCACTGTCTGCAGTGCCAATATCACTTATGGGTGCTGGTTCAAGTCCCGGCTGCTTCATTTCTGATCCAGCTCTCTGCTACGGCCTGGGAAAGCAGTAGAAGATGGCCCAAATCTTTGGGCCCCTGCACCCACATAGGAGACCTGGAAGAAGCTCCTGGCTTCAGATCAGTGCAGCTCCAGCTGTGCTGTCAATTGGGGAGTGAACCAGTGGAAGTCTCTCTCTCTCTCTCTCTGCTTCTTCTTCTCTCTCAATGACTTTCAAATAAATAAATAAATCTTTAAAAAATTTTTTGAACTCTTAATCCCTACAATGTCTGTTTCTTAATTTTAAGTCAAACTTTACTTACACAGAGTTTCATGTGATAGTAATAAGAGGGCGCCTTAAATTTGATCTTCACAATATTGTAAATATGGCACACAACTACACTTTCTCAGAAATATGGTGCCTCTACTATGTGACTGTTCTTTAAGATTGTGCTTTCAGAAGACAATGGAAGGATAGAATAACCCTTAGTGGTTAAAAGGATGGAATTTAAAGGCTAGATTCTGTTACTTCTTGTATGCAAGGCCTTCACAAAGTTCCTGGAAAATGCATATTGTGAAAAAACTATGCATGAGTTTAGAAGTTTTTTCCAAATATAAATGTAAAATATATTAATAATAGGAATAATAAAATATAAGTAATAATCTCCTTTGCCAAGGCAGAGAAACACTGAAGGAGAAACAGAGATCTTTGTTCTGCTGTTTCACTTCCCAAATGGACATAACAGCTGGTTCTAGCCCAGAATTCAATCCAGGTCTCCCATTTCGGTAGCAGGGTCTCAAGTACTACTGCCTCCAGGGTGTGATTTAACAGAAAGCAGAACTGGGACTTGAACCCAGATACACTGATATGGGATACAGACCGAAGGAGCATCTCAATCATTACCCAAATACTCACCCTAAGCTTAACTTGTAATTTCATTTTCTATTCATGAACTTTTTGAAGTATCCTCATACAACCATCAGCAAGATACAGCTTCTCTCTAAACACTGATTTCTTTATGTATAAAATGAAGGCTACACCAGTGACATACAGTTTCTACAGTTGTCAGGAAGTTTAAAGAACCCGAAGTCTTAGAAATACAAACATGGTAACTGTCTGGAAGAACAAAGCCTGGCATCCAGTAATCAGCTAATTAACACACACCATTATAATACAAACAAGACTATCTCTTTTAACATAGATTGGATGACTGAAAAAGGAATTGAAAGTCATCAGCTACCTCCACAAACCTCCTCAACTTTGTACTTCATGGGGTGGCAATAGAAATCAGCATCAGGAAAAGAAAGCATAACTGGTAATAGCAAGCAACTCTGACCTCCCTGACCTTCTGAAATGTAAGTATGTGGTAAGATAAAATCTGAGATGGGGCGAAAAGCCTCATTAAAATAGCAACGGATTCTCTGATTAAAACAAAAGTTATTGGGGGCAAGTGCTGTGGTACAGCAGGCTAAGCTTCTGCCTGTGGCGCAGGCTTCTCATACAGGTGCCGGTTTGTGTCCCAGCTGCTCCTCTTCCAATCCAGCTCTCTGCTTATGGACTGGGAAAGCAGTGCAAGTGCTTGGGTCCCTGCACCCAGGAGGGAGACCAGGAAGAAGCTCCTGGCTCTTGTCTTCGGGTCAGCTCAGCTCTGTCCATTGCAGCTATATGGGAAGTGAACCAGTGGATCAAAGACCTTGCTTTCCACCTCGCCATCTCTAATTCTACCTCTTATAAAAATAAAATCATTAGCCACTGCCTGCACATTAGCAGGAAACTTGGGGGGGGGGGGTGCATTGTGGTATTCCATATGGGTATCATTTCAGGTTCCAGCTGCTCCAATGCCAATCCAGCTCTCAGTTATGGTGTGGGCAAGCAGTGGAATATGGCCAAAGTCCTTGGGTCTCTGCACTCATGAGGTAGACCTAGAAAGAGCTCCTGGCTCCTGGCTTCGGATAAACCCAGTTCTGTTCAATGCGACCAACTGGGGGGTAAATCAGTAGTTTTAACACCTTTTTCACTGTCTCTCCACCTCTTTGTAATTCTATGTCTTTTTTTTTAAAGACTTATTTATTTATTTGAAAGGCAGAGTTACAGAGAGGGAGAGGGAGAAGCAGAAAGAGAGAGAGATCTTCTATCCACTGGTTCACTTCCCAAATGACCACAATGGCCGGAGCTGGGCTGATCTGAAGCCAGGAGCTTCTTTCGGGTCTCCCATGCAGGTACAGAGACCCAAAGCACTTGGGCCATCTTCTACTGCTTTCCCAGGCCACAGCAGAGAGCTGGATGGGAAGTGGAGCAGGCAGGACTTGAACCGGCGACCATATGGGATGCCGGCACTACAGGTGGCAGCTTTACCTGCTATGCCACAGCAATAGCTCTAATACCATGTATCTTTAAAGAAACCTCTTTTTCCTCCACCTTGCGGCGCCGGCACACTGGATTCTGTCCCGGTTGCCCCTCTCCCAGGCCAGCTCTCTGCTGTGGCCAGGGAGTGCAGTGGAGGATGGTCCGTGTACTTGCGCCCTGCACCCCATGAGAGACCAGGATAAGCACCTGGCTCCTGCCATTGGATCAGTGCAGTGTGCCGGTTGCGGCGGCCATTGGAGGGTGAACCAACAGCAAAGGAAGACCTTTCTCTCTCTCTCTCTCTCATTGGAGGGTGAACCAACAGCAAAGGAAGACCTTTCTCTCTCTCTCTCTCTCTCACACTGTCCACTCTGCCTGTCAAAAAAAAAAAAAAAAACAAAAACAAACAAACAAAAAAAAAAAACAAAAAAACAAACCAAAAAAACACCTCTTTTTAAAATAAAAGTCTTAAGAGAAAAAAAAAAACTAGCATGCACTTGGCTTTTTTTTTTTTTTTTAATCTGACAGGTAGAGTTATAGGAAGTGAGAAAGAGAGACAGAAAGAAAGGTCTTCCTTCTGTTGGTTCACTCCCTAAATGGCCACTATGATCGGCGCGCTGCGCCACTCCGAAGCAGGAGATAGGTGCTTCTTTCTGGTCTCCCATGTGGTTGCAGGGACCCAAAGACTTGGGCCATCCTCCACTGCCCTCCTGGGCCACAGCAGAGAGCTGGACTGGAAGAGGAGCAACCAGGACTAGAACCTGGTGCCTATATGGGATGCCGGTGCCACAGGTGGAGGATTAACCAAGTGAGCCACGGCGCCAGCCCACACCTGGCTTTCCAAGATTTTTTCTTTCGATTTTATAAAGTGTATAATGCTTTTAAAAAATTCAAGACTAACCTTAGAACAAACAAAATCAACTAATGTAGCTTCTTCTTCACCTATGTATTCTATAATTTTCTTATTAATCCATGGTCGAATTCTTCGTTCCATCAATATCTACAAGACAAAACATTAATAATTAAAGAACAATAAACTTTAATTAAATTTACTACAGCCTACTCCCAAGAGTAAAATAAAGTATGTTCACTAAAAAATTGAACTAAAGCAGGTATGTATGAAGATAGAATTGTTTTCCTGTTACGTACTAAGACATCAAGTACTAACAATAGTTTTCCCAATAACAAATTCCTTGGCCATAGTTATTTACTCCATGTCAGATTTCTTGATACAAAGATGATCATCCCTAATCAAACAAGCTTACATATTATATTCAAACCACCTCCCTATAACATTATGAAATAAAATGTCTACTCACAGAATCCACAATAGACCAATCCAGGGGATAAGCAAAGAGCTCTGGCTTGGCTGTAGGGATTTTCTCAATGAGACTTTTAATGTGTTTACGCTTTTCTTCAGTGTTCACAGTTCCTTTGGCAGCATTTTTATCATCTTCACCATAATCCAAGGGAACCAGTTTCCTTTTTCGGGGCACATCATCACTGTCTTCATCCTCAAATTTGTTAAACACACTATCTACAGGTAGTTTCTTTCTCTTCACAGAATTCGGCTGACCAGGACTATTGGAAGCACCTATAGTAAAAACACTAACTTAGCTTAATGACTTAAATGACTAATTTTACAACCCACCATCCCACAAAAGTAGTGAAAAATATACTTCCACAAATCTCAGAAAAAAGTTCCCAACTATAAAAAGTAACTCACTACTCACAAGTGCTAGAAAATTTAACTTTTCACTTCTTCTCAGAACTCGAGGCAGCTGCAGATTTAGGAGCACTAGTAGAACTACGAAAACAATTGTGAGCTAGAAAGGCATTTTTGAATAATTTTCTATCTACCTACCACCAACTAACACAAACTTATTTTTTCTCTTAAAGCAAAATAGAGGCATTTAAAGGGGGGGGGGGAAGAAAGCTGGAAAAGTCAACCTACCCAGTTTTAGACTTAGTCCTATTTTTGGCCTATGTTCCTCAGGCTGCTGTTGATCTGGTGAGTTTTCATGAGGAATAATAATCCCGCAGGGAGACTCATCCCCAGGAGTGTTGGGTGTCGCATTGCCACTGGCAGAGGAAACAGATGGGGCAGAGCTAATGGGCCTCAGAGTAGGTTTGAGACAAGGTTTTTGTTCTGGTTCCTCTTCCTCTTCCACAGGTTCTTCTCGTTTTTCTTCTTTTTCTTGCTTTTCTTCTTCTTCCTCTTCTGATTCTGGCTCTTGTTTAATTTGTGGTTGCCTGCGTCGCTCAGCCTCTTGTTCCATCTAAAACACACAAGCAGATCTAAAGATACTCCACTGTACTCAAAGCAACTTCTCCTTTTATATTATCTCTTCTAAAATTACCCTTTCTTTTTTATTAATAATAAGGGAATACTGTCTCCTTCTATAATCAGAAAACTGAGTAAATAACACCAGTACCAATGGAAGCATTTTTCTATTGCTTTGCTCATTTAGTCTGAACTTTCTATGTACTCATATAAGGAATTACTTTATCAGAAAAAAAGACTGCGTTTCATTTTGAAAAATACAAAGGAAATAAGAGGAAGTTTTCTGTTAATCAAATTCACATAACAGGTTATATAAAAGTTGATGACAAATACCTATTATTTTATTCATGATATAATAGAATTTAACATTTCTCTAAAGTGACAAACATGAGACCAGTATTGTGGTACAGTAGGTTAAGCCACTGCCTGCAATGCCAGCAACCTATATGTGTGCCAGTTCAAGCCCTGGTTGCTCAATTTCCATCCAGCTCCCTGCTAATGCACAAGGGAAGGCTGTGGAAGATGGCCCAGTGTTTGGGCCTCTGCCACCCATGTGGGAGACCCAGCTGGAGTTCCAGGCTTCTGGCTTCAGCCTGGCCTAGTCCAGGCTGTAGTGACCATTTGGGGTATAAACAAGCAGATGGAAGATCTTTTTCTCTCCTTCTCCAACTCTGCCTTTCAAATAAATAAATAGACTTTTTTGAAAAAAAAAAAAAAAGAAAGAAAGAAAACAGTATTCTTTTAAAAAATTTTTTTAAATTTATTTATTTGAAAAGCATGGGGCTGGCGCTGTGGTGCAGTGGGTTAACGCCCTGGCCTGAAGCACTGGCATCCCATATGGGCGCCGGTTCTAGTCCCGGCTGCTCCTCTTCCAATCCAGCTCTCTGCTATGGCCTGGGAAAGCAGTAGAAGATGGCCCAAGTCCTTGGGCTCCTGCACCCACAAAGGAGACCCAGAAGAAACTCCTGGCTTTAGATCGGCGCAGCTCTGGCCGTTGCAGCCAATGGGGTAGTGAACCATCGGATGGAAGATATCTCTCTTTGCCTCTCCTTTCTCTATATAACTCTGACTTTCAAATAAATAAAAATCTTTAAAAAAAAAAAAAAAAAAAGAAAAAGAAAAAAAGAAAAGCAGCCAAACAAAGAGGGAGAGACAGAGAAAGAGACCCTCAATCTGCTGGTTTATATCCAAAATGGCTGCAATGGCCAGAAATGGGCCAGTCCAAAGTCAGAAGCCAGGAGCTTCTTCAAGATCTCCCACATGGGTGGCAGGGGCCCAAGTACTTGGGCCATCCTTTGCTGCCTTCCTAGGCACATTTGCAGGGAACTGGATCAGAAGTAGAGCAGTCAGGAACACAGGCAGTGGCTTTACCCACTATGTCACAACAGAGGCCCCCAAACATTATTCTTAAATCCAAGAATGAGGTATGCCAGGGCCTACGTAATGGTCTTTCCCTTTTTAAAATGACAAAGTGTTCAGGAAACAGTGTTCTTTAAAAATACTCAGAGTAGCAGCAAGAGAAGGAACTCAAACAACAAAGTTACTAAATTTCAGAGCAAACTATAGGAAAAACAGGTTTCTAGTAAAGTTTCATTGAAAGATGTGACTAAGACATCTGTAAGATGTTTACTGTTGTTAACCAATGCATACTGATGACATGTGTGAAAAACAAAAGGACTAGGACAGGCACTGGGCAGTGACTGTTCATTTGCAACTTATGATGCCTTCATCTAGTATCAGAGTGTCTGTCGGCTTCTAGTTCTGGCCACTCAACTTCTGATCCAGCTTCCTGCTAATGCCACTTGGAGGCAGCATACGACCAAGTGGTTGGGACCCACAAGGGAGACTGGAAAAGAATTCTTGGCTACTGGCTTCAGTCTGACCAAGTCCTGGCTAGTTTGGGCATTTGGGGAATTAACAATAAGTGGAAGCACATTCCCTCCCACTCTGCCTTTCAAATAAACAAATCCCTAAAAAATATTTTAAGTACCAATAATCTCCCATATAAGAACAAATTCCTTTCATCATAAAGTACATTTTCCTTCACTGTACATCAAACTGATAGCTGGTTTTAAGATGACATGATCATCTTAAAGCAAAACCATTATGCACAAGGTAGCATCTCACCCTCTGGAGCTCCGCATCTGGATCCGGGTGTCCTTCTGCCAGAAGGCGTTGCCTGATTTCCTCAAGTTCTTCCTTTTCTCTCTTCCTATCTCGCTCATCAGCTTCCATTTCCTTTTCTCTATCACGCAGCCTTTTCTGAAGAGCACTTCCTCTGAACGGTAAATGGTAATAGAACTCATTTAGTACTCAGATTATCAACAACTACACACAATGTATCCACAGCAATTTTTTCAAATTAAAAGGTGCATGTTAAGAGAACCACTAAAGATTGTCTTAATGTTCCTTATCTATAGACATTCATGCGTGTCCACTAGATGTTAATACGTATTAAGCATTGTCTTGACATGTATCAGGTTTCCTTCATTATTAAAGTCTAGAGCAAAAAAAGAGATCTCATTTTGCATCAGATTCACAAGGAATCCAACACGTTCACCCAAGCTGTAAATAGCAGTAAACAAAGCATTAATACCACTAAGGATAGCTCTATATCTTAAATTCTTTCCTTTTACAAAAATTCCGGGAGCAGCATAGAATCAACAGAAAGCAGAGGTTCTCTACTTAGCAGTTCATATCTTGGAATGCTGAAGCTATGCACTGCCATTTCATGATTATAGTCTTCAATAATTTTTATTGATTTTGTGGCCTTTTCCAAATCAAATTAACATCTTTGGCATGTTTTCAATTTAACTTGCTAGTTCAAATCTTTTATTTTGGCTGTAGTGTATTGGATATAATCATATACTAAATGTCTTCATTAAACCTGCATCATGTCAAACACAAGACACATAAAAGGGTATTAAAACAATACCCTCAGAAAACTTTGTCTGAATGGAAGGTGTGGGGAAAAAACAACTTTATCATAAAGTCATAAATGCTAGAAAAGGAGTGGTTTAAAATGCCATAGAGCATAGGTGTTTGGCATCACAGTTGGAATGCCCACATAGCCTATCAGAGTGTCTGGTTTTAAGTAAAAGCTCTTTTCCTAATTCCAACTTCCTGCTTATGCACACCCTGTGAGGCAACAGGGAGTGACTCAAGTACTTGGCTTCATGCTCCCAACATGGAAGAATCACACTAGGTGCTCAGCTCCTGACGTCTGCCTGGCTAAGTTCTGGCTGGTACAGGATTTGGGGAGTACATTAGAGATCTCTCTGCCTTTCAAACAAGTCAAAATAAATAAACCTCAAGATGGCCCATGTCCTTGGGCCCCTGCACTCGCGTGAGAGACACAGAAGTTCTTGGGTCCTAGCTTCGGGTCAGCACAGCTCTGGCATTATACCCATTTGAAAAGTGAACCAGAAGATCCCTCCTCTTTTTCTCTCTCAACCTCTGCTTTTCAAATAAATAAATAAAATAATCTTAACAACAACAACAAAAACTCTCAGAACAGGAAAGAAAAGTAGAGAGCTAAGGAAAGGAAGCCATCACAACTCTCATCTCATAGTGACACAGCAATACAAAGAACCAGAACAGGTTGGGTGAGGGCAGGTCAGGTTACCTTTCTTTTTTCTTTTTCTTTCTTTTAGATTTATTAATTTACTTAAGAGGTAGAGTTACAGAGGGAGGGAGACAGAGAGGTCTTCCATCTGCTGGTTCACTCCACAACTGGCCGTACTGGCTGGAGCTATGAGAATCAGAAGCCAGGAGCTTCTTCCAGGTCTCCCAGGTGGGTGCAGGGGCCCAAGGACTTAGGCCATCCTCTACTGCTTTTTCAGCTCACAGTACAGAGTGGGATTGGAAGTGGAGCAGCCAGGAATTGAACAAGCACCCATATGGGATGCCGGGACTGCAGGTGGCGGCTTTTACCTGCTACACCACAGCACTGGCCCCTGCCCCCCCCCCTTTTGACAGGCAGAGTGGACAGTGAGAGAGAGAGACAGAGAGAAAGGTCTTCCTTTGCCATTGGTTCACCCTCCAATGGCCGCCGCACCGCGCTGATCCGATGGCAGGAGCCAAGTGTTTATCCTGGTCTCCCATGCGGGTGCAGGGCCCAAGCACTTGGGCCATCCTCCACTGCCTTCCTGGGCCACAGCAGAGAGCTGGCCTGGAAGAGGGGCAACCGGGACAGAATCCGGCGCCCGGACCGGGACTAGAACCCGGTGTGCCGGCACCGCAAGGTGGAGGATTAGCCTACTGAGCCGCGGCGCCGGCCCCCTTCTTTTTTGTAAGATTTATTTATTTTAAAGTCATAGTTACAGCTTATAGAGAGAAAGAAAGACACACACACACTCCGGGAGGGAGAGACAAAGAGACTGATGTTCTATCTGCCGGTTCACTACCCAGATGGCTAGGGCTAGGCCAGCCCAAAGCCAGAAGTCAGGCACTTCATTAGGGTCTTCCATGTGGGAGCAGGGGCCCAGGCATTCGGGCCATCTTCCTCTCCTTTCTCAGGTACATTAGCAGTGAGCTAGATCAGAAGTGGAGCAGCCAAGACTCAAACTGGTGCCCATAGGGGATGCTGGTGTCACATGCAGCAGCTTTATAAGGTAAGCCATAACACTGGTGGCCAGATAACTTTTTATTTATTTATTTATTTATTTATTTATTTATTTATTTATTTATTTAGTTTTTGGACAGGCAGAGTGGACAGTGAGAGAGAGAGACAGAGAGAAAGGTCTTCTTTTGCCGTTGCTTCACCCTCCAATGGCCGCCGCGGCTGGCGCGCTGCGGCCGGCGCACCGCGCTGATCCGATGGCAGGAGCCAGGAGCCAGGTGCTTTTCCTGGTCTCCCATGGGGTGCAGGGCCCAAGCACCTGGGCCATCCTCCACTGCACTCCCTGGCCACAGCAGAGAGCTGGCCTGGAAGAGGGGCAACCAGGACAGAATCCGGCGCCCCAACCGGGACTAGAACCCGGTGTGCTGGCGCCGCTAGGCAGAGGATTAGCCTAGTGAGCCGCGGCGCCGGCCTGATAACTTTTAACCATTCTTTAAATTCTTGGAGGAGAAAACAACTCTAGATAGTCATAAAAATTATATTTCACTTGCAATAAAATATGGAACCTCATTTAAAACAGATAAAGAAAACAGCTCTCTTCCTTCTCCCAGAAAACTGTGCAGTAGTGGATCCAGGATGAAATGTGAAAATTTCCTGCTGGTATTGCACTTGATGAATGTGTATTATCTGGTATAGCAGGGAAAATGTGGTAATTAAAAGCTGAAGGCATGAGTTCATAAAGCAAGTTTCCTTTACCTGTAATATTTGGGATCATCTCTATCATCATCATAATCTTCTAAAAATTCTTTTAGTCGTTTAGCTTCTTTTGCCTTTGAGGAAATGAAGGATAAACTGTGTAAATTTAACATAGAAATCACTCAGTTGACCTCCCCCAACTCCCCTGGGAACAGATGCTTCTCGTCCACACCACTTGCACTTCATAGTTCTCATATATTTCATGCAATAAATGTGAATCACATTAAACGCTGTTTAGCTTTTACCTGCAAAACAAGGCAGCTTTAGGACTTAGCCATGAAATGAAAATAACACTAGCAAACAAAAACTGGAAGCTATCTTCCTATGTTTATTAATATTTTAAATTTCATTTTGTAGGCCAATTATGTTCTAAGTAGTTTTTATGAAATGTGAGATTAAAAATTTAAATCCTGTTTCTGGCTATCTTTAAAGTGATAGTAAATAAACCAAAGTACAAGGACCTCTCATTCCCATTTTTGGTATTTCAAATCCAACAACTATTACGAATGTTTTTAACTTATGTCTTATATCTAGTGATATCTAACCATAATTATATCAATACCACCATATCTATACACAAAGCAGATAACAGGTTTCTGACCACAGTTCCAATGTTACTCTACATGACTATAACCATCTATTCTTGAGCAAAACCCTCTAACCCCTGGCAGAGTTAGTGCTCTTTCTCTACAACCATTGTAAATATATCATAAAGGCTTATTCACACCCCTGAAACTAAGTAACTGATCTGACGATGCTGTTTACTTATTTCAAAACTGACTCATCACTCGTTCTTGTATATCCATTACTGAGCACAAGGCTGGCACACTAAAAATTCATCAATGAATCAAAGCAGATTGTCAAGGAGCAAGAATTACTTCAATTACTAAAATACAGACACACATGAAAACTTGTAAGAGATTTTCTCTAAAACTTTCAAACAAAAAATAACTACTAGGAAATTTTTGCCTAGTCAGGCAAGTTTTGTATTTGCTCATAGGAAGCAGAATCATTCAAGATGTTTATTCCACAGTGTTACCATTGTCTTGCTATTTTCTAATCTAGGCATGGAAGTTTCTGGGAGTTTATGGGAGCCAAAACCCTATTATTTTATTTTTATTTATTTATTTTTTTTGACAGGCAGAGTGCACAGTGAGAGAGAGAGAGAGAAAGGTCTTCCTTTGCTGTTGGTTTACCCTCCAATGGCTGCCGCGGCCGGCGCACCGTGCTGATCCGAAGGCAGGAGCCAGGTGTTTATCCTGGTCTCCCATGGGGTGCAGGGCCCAAGCACTTGGGCCATCCTCCACTGCACTCCCTGGCCACAGCAGAGAGCTGGCCTGGAAGAGGGGCAACCGGGACAGGATCCGGTGCCCTGACCGGGACTAGAACCCGGTGTGCCGGCCAAAACCCTATTCTTAATGATAAAATCCAAAGAAGTTTAAAATGATTTTGTGACATTAAATATCTAATATTTAGAAAATTCAACCACCATCTAGCTAGTGCTACATGCACCCTCTTGATTACTTACAAAAATTCCCTTTATGTGTCATGTTCAAAATCTATCTGGGGTCCAACACCGTGGCACAGCAAATAAAGCTGCTGCTTATTACAAACATTTATTAGAATTTTCTGCTTTATTACTGATTGTTCCTAAGCAATTGTTGTTCTTTTGGTCTAGTGTGACAGTATGGTCCTTGTGCTGAGGGAAGCAGTTCAGAGTTGCAAGAATAGATCATAGGCGCCAGCGCTGTGGTGCAGCAGGTTAAGCCATGGCCTGCAGTGACCGTATGGACGCCAGTTTGAGACTCAGCTGTTCCATTTCTGATCCAGCTCCCTCCTAATGCACCTGGGAAAGCAGAAGATGGCCCAAGTGCTTGGGCCCAAGCACCCATGTGGGAGACCTAAAAGAAGCTCCGGGCTCTGGCTTGGCCCAGTGCTGGTCATTGCAGCCATCTGGGGAATGCACCAGAAAATGGAAGATTTCTCTCTTTCTCTGTGTATGGATGGAAGATCACTCTCACTTTTTCTCTGTACCTCTGCCTGTCAAACAAATAAATCTTTGGGGGAAAAAAAAAAGCTATACGAAGAAGACTGCTAGCTTCAATGAAGTTTTCAGGAGAAGCATCTCCAAACTGTTGACCGAGAAACCTCAATAAAATCCTGGAAACACAGAATTTGGGGAACATACTACAGAAATAAACACTATGATAAAATATAACAACCTATGCTAATTGCTTCATTGCTAATAGTTCATCAACAGTATAAATTCAAAAAGCAAAATTCATTTTTATGATCATCATGTAGTTTTTAAAAAAGGACAACATGGTATCTAAGTAAAAGCAATTAATTCATCAACACTATGTCCATAACATTTTGATCTATTAAAAAAAGTTCTGGGGGCATGTGTTTGGCCTAGTAATTAAGATACCAGTTACAGGCCGGCGCCACAGCTCACTAGGCTAATCCTCCGCCTGCGGCGCCGGCACACCGGGTTCTAGTCCCGGTCGGGGCGCCGGATTCTGTCCCGGTTGCCCCTCTTCCAGGCCAGCTCTCTGCTATGGCCCGGGAGTGCAGTGGAGGATGGCCCAAGTGCTTGGGCCCTGCACCCCATGGAAGACCAGGATAAGTACCTGGCTCCTGTCATCGGATCAGCGCGGTGCGCCGGCCGCGGCGGCCATTGGAGGGTAAACCAATGGCAAAAGGAAGACCTTTCTCTCTGTCTCTCTCTCTCAGTGTCTACTCTGCCTGTCACCCAAAAAAAAAAAAAAAACAAAAAACAAAAAAACAAAAAAAAACCAGTTACAATTACAGGGCCAGCTATGTTGCACAGCGGGCTGCAACACTCAAATCTCATATTGGAACACTGAGTTTGAGTCCCTCAGCTGCCCCACTTCTGATCCAGCTCCCCACTAAAGTGCTTGTGAAGGTGGAAGATGGTTCAAGTACTTGGTTCCCTGCCACCCACTTAAGAAACCCAGATGGAGTTTCAGGCTCCTTGCTTCTGCCTAGCCTAGCCTCAGCTGTTGCACCAATTAGAGAGTAAAACAGCAGATGGAAGATTTTCCTTCTCTTTTACCCTCCTCCTTTCCTCCCCAACTCCTCTTAACTCTGCCTTTCAAATCAATAAGTAAATCTTTAAAAAAGAAAAATATACTAGTTAAGATTACAGTGTCTCACACTGAAATGCCTGAGGATTTATTATTGGTTTTAGCTCCTGATTCTAGTTTCTGCTAATGAGGGCTCCAGAAGGAAGAGGTGATGGTTCAAGTAACTGGGTTCTTGCCACCCACATGCCAGACCTGGATTGAACTATGGTTCCAATTTTGGGCTTGGCCTATCCCCAGCCATTGTGGGCATCTGGGGATTGCACCAATGGATGGGACCTCTTTGTCTCTCTGCTTTTTGAATAAGTAAATAAATAAATAAATTCCTTTCACCATATTAATTGTTTTATATAAGAACAGTTAAAAAAACTAACTTTGCAGATTTTTTTTTTTTTTTTTTAATTTACTTGATAGAGTTAGACAGTGAGAGACGGAGAGAACGGTCTTCCTTCCGTTGGTTCACCCCCAAAATGGCCGCTACAGCCAAAGCTACATCGATGCAAAGCCAGGAGCCAGGTACTTCTTCCTGATCTCCCACGCAGCTGCAGGGCCCAAGCACTTGGGCCATCCTCCACTGCCTTCCCAGGCCACAGCAGAGAGTTGGACTGGAAGAGGAGCAACTGGGACTAGAACCTGGTCCCCATATGGGATGCCAGAGCCGCAGACGGAGGATTAACCAAGGGAGCAACAGTGCCGGCCCCAAATTCTCTTAACTGTTATTGATTTTATTTGCTGGAAAAGCAGAGATAAAGAGATGGATGGAGAGAGCGAGGGAGGGATAGATGTCGCTCCCCCTCTTCGTGGAGGAACGACACTAAACCCTGCCTAGGCTTCATATCCGAGTCACGGCACCATTATGTCGCTCCCCGTCTTCGCGGAGGAACGACACTAAACCCTGCCTAGGCTTCACATCTGAGTCACGGCACCATTATGTCGCTCCCCCTCTTCGTGGAGGAACGACACAGGACCCTGTGCTGTTCTTTTGTCTGCTCGGCCCTCCCCGGGATTGCTGCTGGTTCTTCCCGGGTTGGCTACTGACCCTTCCACCTCCGTGGAAGGGCGGTTCCCCCTGCCACTTTCCCCACTTCCGCAGGGGAGCGGCACACCGCCGGCCGGCTCTCTCGGGGGCTGCACAGGTGTTCCTTCAGATAGATGTTCCTGGTGCATGTTGTCTCTCTCCTCCTTTATAGTCCTCTTCCACCAATCCCAACTCTGCTACCCACACGCCGAGTACGCTGCTCTCCAATCAGGAGCAAGTCCTACAGTTTATTGGTTGAACTGGAGGCAGCTGTGTAGAAGCTGTTACTCCCTTCTCAGCGCCATATTGTGGGAGAGCAGATGCATAGAATAAGTCTTAATTCCAGTAACTTAGTCTAGTCCGAGTTGCTCCCCACAATAGAGAAATGGGAGACAGACAGACAGAGATCTTCCATCCATTGGTTCACTCCCCAAATGCCTACATCTGGGGTTGAGAGAGGCCAAAGGCAGAAGCATGGAATTCCATCCTGGTCGCCTATGAGAGTGACAACAGTCAAAGTACTTGAACCATCAATCCTGGCTTTCCCAGGGACAATAGCAGGAAACTGAATCAGAAGCAGAACAGCCAAGACTCACACTGGCACTGTAATACATGAGAACTCTGATGGATTTTATCTGCAACCTTATAAAAGAGCCTGAGTCAGGGCCAGAGCTATATGGACACTGGTTTGAGTTCCGGCTCTCCATTTTTGATCCAGCTCTCAGCTATGGCCTGGGTAAACAGTACAAGATGGTCCAAGTCCTTGGGCCCCTGCATCCAATTGAGAGACCCCAGGGGAAGCTCCTGGCTCCAGATCTGCTAGGCTCTGGCCGCTGAGGCCATTTGGGGAGTGAGCCAGCGGATGGAAGATCTCTCTCTCTCTAATTCTGCCAAATAAATAAAATAAATCTTAAAAAAAGAGCTTGCTTTAGCTTGATAGTGCATTGGAAAAGTAGCCAGGACTCAAACCTGCAACAATACGGGAGGTGGGAGGTAGGAAACCCAAGTAGCAGCTTAATCTGCTGCATCATCACAATGCCAGTTCCTTGTAGATTTCTTAATAGAAGAATACTGTATAAATTTATGAATTATATTCATTTATGACACATTTCCTATCAAAATATATAAAAAATTTAAAAGCAAACATTTGTAAGAAATATTTTTGTGTACTTAAATTGTCTCAATATTGCTTGAAATTGAATAGAATTAAATTACCTAACAACTGAGAAGCCTCTATCAATTATAAAGTTATCTGTAGTTCAGAGTAACAAGGTGATCAGATTTTTAAATTTATTTTTAATCTAGAACTTACCATTTCTCTTCTCCTTTCTTCTTCTCTTTCAGCCTCCTTTTCATATTCTCGAGTTTTCTTCCGTTCTCTGATTTCCCAATTCTTAAGGCGCTAAAAAAGATCCCATGCTTTAGCACTTCATACAATGATTCTATAGTTCTACAAATTTTAACTTACCTAAGTGCACCAGGATTTAAAACTAAAATCACTTCCTCAATTTACCTCTTGATAAGCGGCTTCTTTCTCTCGGAGTTTTCTTTCAAGTTTTCTTCGTTCATATGCATCTTCCTCGTCTTCTTCTCGGTCCCGTTTCTTGTCTTTCTCTCTCTCACGCTCCCGTTCCCGCTCTCGCTCTCTCTCTCGCTCTCGTTCTCGCTCCCGCTCTCGTTCCCGTTCTCTCTCCCGTTCCCGCTCTCGTTCCCTTTCACGATCTCTGCTCTTTTCTCTATGTAAACAGAAGATTTTAACTCAGTCAGTCTTTGTGCTCCTCTAGACACACAGGAAAGAGGGGATACACACACCACAAAGCACTACTGGAAGCACTTCTATACTCATCAGAGAGAGACTGTGGGCCCAGCCTCAAATCCTGAACTATGCTCTGAAGTCAATGTTACAGTTAATTGTGTATCAGAAAACAAACCTAAATATATTTAAAGGATTAAAGAATGCCCTACAGTAAATTGAAATCCCAACTAATTACATAACAGTGTACAACAGGAAAAAACAAATTGCTAATTCTCCTCAAAACTACAAGACTAATAAGCATGTTGAAAATAATCAACCTCAAAACAAAAATCAACCTCATTAGTGATCAAGTAATATAGAAATCAAGAAATAGAATTTTGGCTTGCTAGGAAAGTTCTCAAATATTTAATTCAGAGTAATAAAACAAAATTGCAGGCCGGCGCCGCGGCTCAATAGGCTAATCCTCTGCCTTGCGGCGCTGGCACACTGGGTTCTAGTCCCAGTCGGGGTGCCGGATTCTGCCCCGGTTGCCCCTCTTCCAGGCCAGCTCCCTGCTGTGGCCCAGGAGTACAGTGGAGGCTGGCCCCAGTGCTTGGGCCCTGCACCCATGGGAGACAGGAGAAGCACCTGGCTCCTGCCTTTGATCAGCACGGTGTGCCGGCCGCAGCGAGCCGGCCGCAGCAGCCATTAGAGGATGAACCAAAGGCAAAGAAAGACCTTTCTCTCTGTCTCTCTCTCTCACTGTCCACTCTGCCTGTCAAAAAAAAAATTGCAGAATATATATTAATACTAAAAAGTATACTTAATTAAACATAAGTATACATATGAAATAATACAGTTCATTGAAACAAAAAAATTACACCCTGGTTAAATTCTCAGTAACAGCTTTATCAGGACAGGAAGAAAGAAAGGAATTTTAACGCCCACTGAAGACTGAGCACTGGACTTCCAGTTCCAGCAACACAGTAGATGGAGCAAAAGTAGAAATCCAAGTTTCTAAGAAACTGCAAAACAGTATGTGTATTTTAAAATTAGTCTATAAAAAGGATGAGTCTTCTTCTCTTTCCTCCTGCTCTCCTGTGCTTCGTTTGTTCATAACTGCTCTGCCCCTTTCCCAAAAAAGAAGAGATTCACCACATGAATTTAATCTAAGTAACAAAAGTTTTAAAATAAGTAAATCATGGGGCCAGTGCCATGGCACAGCGGGTAAAGCAGCCACCTGTAGTGCCTGCATCCTGTATGGGCGCTGGTTCAAGACCTGGCTGCTCCACTTCCCATCCAGCTCTCTGCTATGGCCTGGAAAGCAGTGGAGCATGACCTAAGTCCTTGGTCCCCTGCAGCTGCGTGCAGAAAAAGCTCATGGCTTTGGATTGGAGCAACTCTGGCCATTGCAGCTATCTGAGGAGTGAACCTGTGGATGGAAGACCTCTTTCTCTTTCTTTGCCTCTCCTCTCTGTGTAGCTCTACTTTCAAATAAATAATCTTTAAAAGGCAATCAATCAAGCTGGCTCTGCGGCTCACTAGCCTAATCCTCCACCTGCGGCACCAGCACTCCAGGTTCTAGTCCTGGTTGGGGCGCCAGATTCTGTACCGGTTGCTCCTCTTCCAGGCCAGCTCTCTGCTGTGGCCCAGGAGTTCAGTGGAGGATGGCCCAGGTCCTTGGGCCGTGCACCCACATTGGAGACCAGGAGGAAGCACCTGGCTATTAGCTTTGGATTGGCGCAGTGCGCCAGCTGCAATGCACTAGCCATAGCGGCCACTTGGGGGGTGAACCAACAGAAAAAGGAAGACCTTTCTCTCTGTCTCTCTCTCTCTCTCACTGTCTAACTGTGCCTGTCAAAAATAAATAAATAAATAAATAGCCAGAGAAGGTAAATGGTAGCAATCACAGGAAAAACTCAACACACCCGAGATAAAAGAAGTCAAATCAGAACCATTTCTCATTATATAGGACTCCAATGAAACAGCAACTAGGAAGAAAGCCCACTGGACCAGTGAGACAACAATCAAGTCTACACAAAGCAAGTGGACAGACAGTTGGTGTCCTGGGTTTCTGTAAATACTGGCTACAGAGAGAAATCAAAGAATTGAAAATTGCTACTTTCACCAACACCAACCATGCAAAGCCGGCCACAATCTGGAGTTAAGGAAATTCTCTATCAGAGATATGTGAGGGCTTCCCTGTGGTTTTACCAAAGCTATCAGAAGACAGTAACTTCTATGAAGCCTTACCTTGATCGACTCCGATCCTTATTTCGATCCGAGCTCCTTTCTCGATCCCGGTCACGATCTCTTTCTCGATCCCGATCTCGATCTCTTTCTTTGGTCCGGTCACGGTCCCTATCTCGTTCTCGTTCCCGCTCCCGTTCCTTCTCCTTCTCTCGTTCACGTTCTCTTTCCCTTTCTCGTTCCCGTTCTCGCCTTTCTCGTTCCCTTTCACGCTCCCTCTCTCTTTCTCTCCGTTCTTTCTCAATTTCCTGTCTTTCTTTTTCCTTTTTGCCTTTCTCTTCTTCCAGTTTCTAGAAACCAATAAAAGTACTTTTAGAGTTAACTCTGTAGCTCCAGTATTCAAGAGTTTCCCCGGCGCAATGCCCAATATTGGGAACAAAAACATCAAACCACTGATACTTTAATATTAAATATTTGTGGTTTTACTTGACAAATTAAACTGAAACAATCACAAGACTTGATAATTTCGTGCAAAACCATATACTCTACACAGACCAGGAATTTACAATCGTGAATTCTGGGAGACTGCATCAAGTGTGGATGGCCACTCAATGACTATGTGGAATGACCATGAAGAATGTGGTGGTTCATAGTTTCTAGAAATACAATTCATGGCTAATAATTCTATCCATTATGCATTTCTGTACATCAGTGGGACCACTGATAGCTATAACCGCAGACATCCCATTACCTAAGGACACCAGCTGAAGGTTTTAAAGGGAGGTGGAGGAGGAAAGTTGGTCACTGTAATGCAACTAAATAATCTGCCCTCTCGTGTGCCCACCCTCCAAAAGAAAACACACGCTGCATTCAGCCAAGATGTGCTTTACGGAGACGTTTACTCCCACCATTATGAGACTGACAGCCCACCAAATACAAATGGTTTCAAAATCATTCACTTCAAGCAAAGTGTACATTAATTGTAATATTTTCATTTAAAATATTTAAAAGCAATATATTTATGCCCATATGCCTGTAAAACAATCATATATTCACAATGATAAATCCATCCTTGGAAGGAACGATTGTATATTAACTTACAGATGCTGTGCTAGGACATGGATCGCCAACACTGGATTAACCTTGCCTACAAGCTATGTTTCTGGGAGGAAGAGCAAGTACATGGTTCACAAATAAACCAAATAACAAAGGCAGACCAAGTTTGTACCCTGACAAGATTACCAGTGTACCACACGGATTCTACACAACGTCAGAAAAAAATATATACCCCAAGCAGGTAAAACAAAGAAAGCCAATAAACATTTATTCCTTTGGTTCCATGTTTAGTTTCACTGAAATAAAATTTAAACTGCAACAATAAAATGTGCATTTTTCTTTTCTCAGTCATGTAAAGCATTTAAAACAACTTTAAAAAGCAATCTTACCTTTTAGACACTCTTTTTCTCTTCCTCATGGATCAGAGAACTGATAGAGGATTATGAAAGAAAAGCTAATGTATGAGAGATCAATATATTCAGCTGCTGTGCCAGTCTAAACCAAAGTAAAATGCAGGCAAAGCCAATACTGGATACATTGAAATTACAAAGGGCAAGATAAGAAATGTGAGAAAGAGGACAGAAACGAAAAGACTATTTACAGGGGTGAAATCTCATTTCTGAAACGGTTCTAACGGAATAAAAACTTTATATTGTAAAATGAGGCTAAACTACATAAAACTTACCTCAATGTCATACTATAAAGAAATGTATTTACTTCTGAGATAACAGATACTTACAGATAATTTTAGTTGTCCCAATATTAATTTCTTTTGTAGAAATCCTCAATTTTTTTACTCTTGCTTATTCACTATTCTACTTAATCTCTTATGCAAGCAGTAATTTGTTTCAGAACTCATTTTAAGTTTGGTTCTAAGTAAATGGGAAAATTAAGTGAATCTAGTCCATACTAAATATTTAAAGTTATTACATGCTATACATATATGCATCATGCACATATTTATATAGCATAAATGTGTATATTTTTAGAGTGATTGGAGAAACAGGAAATGAGGTGAGTCTAAATAAAAATGTAAGAAAATAATGAAGAGAAAGGACAGATTAAAAAAATCATAAATCTTACCTTATTCTCTCTTCAGACTCATCCGTGCTGTAAATGGACGCCCCCTGCCACGCTGATACCCTGACTGTGGTTATTTAATAAACTCAAACCAAAACATGCAAAGGTTCACTGAGCTCATTTTTGTTACTGGAGTTTCAAATATCCCCCATTAGCCATACCACCCAATACAAATAACTTTGTTTTTTGTTTTGGTTTTACTTTTAAAACACATTTTAGAAATTCGAAACATTTCCCCTCCAGTGAAATAATACTAAGGCAGTGAAATGCCTGACAGATCATCAGACTCCAAAGCAGAATATTTTGAATTTATTTGTTTTAAAGCATGATTTCCTCATAACCAATAAATGACAGGGTGGAACAAATAAAAACAAAAAGGGGGTAAACCACACACACAACTGTATACCATTTTTAAGCTTACTCAGCACTAAACGTAAACACTGAATCTAACCAAAAGTGTTCTCTAAAATGACTTTCCACACACCACCATTTTAATACTCAAACTGATTTTGGAAGAACTGCATGTGTTTACAGGCATATTTAATTCCTGAAGAAGCACATGTATGTGAGCGAGGGCTGGGCATCTGGATATTAAGTGTTCAGCAGCACTGATTCATTGATACTTGGCATTTTGAAAGCAATGAGAAAAAATAAGACTGATAGAAGAAAAAATGAATACTTGACACTTCACTAATCTCAGCCTCTGATTAAGAACCAGTAACATTTATTATCTCTAACATCAAAATACATTTCATGCAGTGTTTTCATTTCACCACCCATAAGCAATACTTTCAACACCAGCAAACATTTACAGATAGATGCACTGTCATTGAGAGAAGCTTTAAATAGGCAAAACTCGTGAGTGGGATTTACTATGCACAAATACCCATTTCCAAGCCAGTTACCCCTTTGCATATTTTTCTGAGGGGGCATCCATAAATATAATAAAAAACAGAAGCTCATACTTACATCCTATTCCTTGTTACTTTCCAAGCTGAGAGTTTCATCTTGCATTAGTCACCATATGATCTCTATCATAATGGTGGGGGTCAATGAATAGATTAGCTTTATGGGAATTTACAGTTCTTCCATGCATCTAAAATTTGGTAAGTCTGGTAACCACTGACCTACTTTTAAAAATCTCCCCCACTCAACCTAAATCTATACAAATATAAATCTTAAATTTTAATCTCAGCTCTAAAGAAAAAAGGTTTTCCTAAGATTAAATAACTGTTCCCCCAGAAATACACTACAGTGTATGTTATCCTGCTGCCCCCTTGAATCTAATTTAAATCTGATCTTGATGTTTATGTCGTAATCTAAAAATAAAATTAGCTTGTATTCATATTAAAGTGAGATGATTGCAGAGCAGTCAGTAACTGAAAAAGCTAAGCACAACATGTCAAGGACCACTTTAATATGGCATTGGTTTTCCGTTTCTTTGTTTCTATCTACATATCAAACCTACAAAAGGCATTTAAAATTATATTCTAAGGTAAGGTTGGTTTTTCTTGTCTGTTTGCTTTGGATTCTGTAAAAAGTCTAGATTGGTATCAAGTGAAAAAACAAGAATACTACCTTGTGTGTGTCTCTGAATTTGCTGATCTCTCGGGATATCAAGTCTCTTTTGTCTTCTTCCATTTCTATAGCATTTATATCCTCCTAAAAGAAAAAGGCAACAGGAAGGAATGAATACAGATCAATCTGTATCAATTTGAAAAATTAAAGATAGATATTTCACATGAGTCTTATAAAATATGAGTAATCAGAACATTTATAATAATAACTCTAACAATCTAAGGTTAGTGAAAAATCAGATAAACAAGAATCTGGGCAGCAGTAAACACTGGTATTCCCAACGCCCACAATTTAAACAAACCTTAGTGATGAGTGGGTAAGGGATCAGCGGGGCCACTGGGAATCTACGAAAAATCTGCGAAAAAATACACAAAGATTTTTTTCAAAAACAACAAAACAGCTTATATCACTCTGAAATTCAGTACCTGCAAGTTTATACTGTAAACAACACAATAACTGTATGTCGCACTCTCTTTACAACCCCTCCAGGTACCTACACCCACTTCTCCCTCCAACACCCCCAAACAAAAGCCTAAGGGTGGGGGGGGGGTCTCACAGTAGCAGAGTCTTTTCTGTGATCTTCTCCAAGATACAGTAAACAATCACCAACAAAATTTATCTATAATTCCTACCAGAGGACAAGATTTCACTGATTTGCTGTCTATCTGTTTTTCGCCTTTCCCAATGATGTGGGAAGAACAGCAACAAACTCTACAAGGCGACATGATCCTATTCTTGACTGACCTCATTGCATCTCACTACACAGGGTTTTGTGGCCAAACAAGGAAGAATTAAACCAAGTGAACCTGAAGATGGTCTTAAAAAGGTACTGAAACCCCAAATAGTACAAACCACTAATCAACCCTTGCTAACTAAATATGACACATACAATTTATAGTACTCTTCCATAGCTTACAAGAGGGTACTTTAAAAAGTTCAGGGAAAATGAAATTATGTTTATTTTACTGCAAAAATGTGAAATCATGCAGGTTTTGTGGTAACAGCCATTTTCCATGAACTTTTGGAAGAACTTTCATACAAGCATATAAAATACTTCCAATTTTTTTAAAAGACCATTTATTCCCCGTAATTTCTCTAAGTTTAATCAAAAGAGGCAAATCCAAGAACCACCTTCTTTCTATGTAGATTCCCTAATCTTCCATTAAATTAGCCTGGCAAAAAAAGTTGGTATTCAGTTCCCTGGGGTGGAGCACTTCATCTTGCACTGCTCTTTCAGGGTTCTCCCACTGGATGTTAACTGCATTACTGACAGGGTTTCTAACAAGACAAGATTGTCTAACCGAAAGGCAGCTAAAAAGAATGGGTGAAAACCTTCAATGTCTGAAGCCTGGCTTCCTGCTTAGAGCAGAGGCAGAAATATCAAAATTAGGGGATAATGTAAAACAAGGCCAGATTGTTATGGTAAAAAATAAATGAATCTTACTTACTTCTTAATATCAGTTCCTACTCATTATTATTGAAGCTTTTTGTTTGCTTTGCTTTAAACTAAATTCAACCCACATTTAAGTGTAAGTCGCCACACCAGTGTATTTCAAACATAGAAAACAGGCATGCTTTGGTTAAAAATATAAGAAGCTAGCTGAGAAAACAATCAAAATTATGATAAGGTGAAATATTTATCTCTACATCTACTCTTTAAATATATATTTTATGGTATCTTTTCGTGGCAATAAAATATTTAGTATTTTTAAAGAACATCCCACAAGTTAAGTTTACCTAAAATAAACGAGTTTAAGAGAATCAAACTTTCCCTTTCAACTTGCACATTACTGTAAGACTACTCATACGGTTTTCTCTTCCAAGCTAAAATGTAATCAAAGCATAAGAGTTGTCACACTATAAAAAACAAACTGCAGGAATGACTGTGCTATCAGAACACATACGTCCTCCTTCTTTTCCTTCTTCTTCTTTCTGGGGTGAGAGTCAGATTCCTGTGAGGGGGCATTTAGCTCACTGGAGTATTCACGAATTAAAACTTCAATGGCCCCTTTAATCATCTGATCTCTTCTTTTTGTTTCTTCATCTAAGGCTTCTTCATCATCATTAGGGGCAGTTTCTGGCCTGGCATTCTTAAAATAAGAAAGCAAATTCAAGGGGAAAAAAAGAAAAATCAAACAAAGTAAAAATAATTTTAATAGACGGGTTAATAAACAAATACGTTTTTTCCAAATATCTCCAAAGTCCTAGTAAACATGGGGTTACATTTGTTTTCAACTTCACAAAACTAAACTTCATTTGTTTTACTTAGTTTCCTGAGATACCTGTATTTTTCATCATCTTTGTTTTCTTCGCTTAATTGCTGAAGTCTTGGCCCCTTACCAGCGAAAAAAGTATTAAATGGAAGCTTTAGCACACTATACAAAACATTTGAAAGCTTTCACAACTGGTTTCTGACAGTCTTGATTAATAGCTTCACGAACTAATGATAATTACTAATTCTTGCAATCAGATAATAAAGTTGAAAATTTAGCTATGTGATAAAAGCAAATTATAATTTTAAAATATGCTATGCAAAATGAGCAAAAAGTATGCATTGGTTAAATAAACATATACCAAATTGTAAAAACCAGAAATATCAGGAGAGGAAACAATGACTTTTGTTTTTCTCTCAGCTTTCTGCAATTTGTATAATGGAGAAATATCACTTATACAAACCACATACTCCCTGTGGTGTGTACATGTAACATTAAAAAAAATAAAACACATTATTTATATAACAGATAGCCATTTGAAAGAATTGATGGCTAACTGTGCCTCTGACAAAAACAATACTGTCTTCTAATGTGCCACTAATCTCTTGTCTGTTTTATTCTAAGTCCCCAGGTTATAGGGTTAATGCAATTCACACTACAAAGAAAATTTACACAATTTCAAAACTCCTCCTTAGTCTATTCTCAATTCCTTTTTAGTCAAAACACAGGAAAGGATAAAAATATGAAAAAACAGCAACAAGATAAACATAAAAGAAAAATATATACAAACTTTGTTCTAATTTGAAATAGACAAATATTCTATGCTACATGCCTGCTTTTGATCACAATACATGCAATTGTTTAGAAGTAGTTACATGCCTTGTGACTCCTTTACAATAGCAAGGATTTATTTGAAAGTCAGAATTACACAGAGAGAAGAGAGGCAGACAGAGAGAAAGAGAGAGAGAAAGTAAAGGAGGGAGGGAGGTCTTTCATCCGCTGGTTCACTCCCCAATTGGCTGCATCGGTTGGAGCTGTGCTGAAGCAAAGACAGGAGCCAGGAGCTTCTTCCAGGTCTCTCACATGGGTGCAGGGGCCCAAGGACTTGGGCCATCTTACACTGCTTTCCCAGGCCACAGCAGAGAGCTGCATCAGAAGTGGAGCAGCTGGGACTCGAACCGGCACTCATACGATGCTGGCATCCTGTATGGGCACTGATTTGTGTCCCAGCTGCTCTACTTCCAAGCCATCTCCTTGCTAATAGCTTGGGAAAAGCAGCAGAAGATGGCGCAAGTGCTTGGGCACCCATGTAGGAGACCTGGAAGAAGCTCCTGGCTATTGGCTTCAGTCTGGCCTAGTCCTGGCCATTGTAGCCATCTGGGAAGTGAAGCAGTGATGAAAAATTCTCTCTCTGCCTCTTCCTCTCTAACTGTTGACTTTCAAGCAAATAGATAAATCTTTAAAAAAAGAAAAGAAAAGAAAGAGTGGCTGGCACTGTGGTGTAGCGGGTTACAGCCTTGGCCTGAAGTGACGGCATCCCTTGTGGGCATGGGTTCTAGTCCTGGCTGCTCCTCTTCCAATCCAGCTCTCTGCTGTGGCCTGGGAAAGCAGTAGAAGATGTCCCAAGTCTTTGGGCCCCTGCACCCGCATGGGAGACCCGGAAGAAACTCCTGGCTTTGGATCGGAACAGCTCTGGCCTGGCATAGACCAAGTGGTACATTTGTGGCAAACTGGGGAGTGAACCACTGCCTGAATGAACAAAATGAATGAATGAATGAATGAATGAATAAATAAATCCACGTTGTGGCACAGCTGGTAAAAGAGCTGTCTGCAGTGCCTCATCAGTTCTAGCTGCTCTACTTCCATTCTAGCTCTCTGCTATGGCCTGGGAAAGCAGTGGAAGATAGTCCAAGTCTTGGGCCCCTGCACCGTCATGGGAGACCTGGAAGAAGCTCCTTGCTCCTGGCTTTGGATCAGCCCAGCTCCAGCCATTGCGGCCATATAGGGAGTGAACCATCAGATGGTCTCTCTCTGCCTTTGCCTCTCTATAACTCTGCCTTTCAAATAAATAAATCTTAAAAAAAATAAAAATATCAAGCAGCTAGGGTAGGCATTATAGTTAAAACCACTGCTTAGGATGTCCACACCCTTTATCAGAAAGACTGGGATCAAGTCTAACATCAGCTTTCTGCTAATGTGTACCCTGAAAGGAAGAAAATTCTCCCAGTGTCTCGGTTCCTGGCACCCAAATGGGAGATTCTGACTTTAGCCTGACCCTGCCCCCCTGGCTTTTGTGGGCATTCTGGGAGTGAGCCAGCAGATGGCAGATCTCTCTCTCTCTCTCCCCCATCTCTCATTCTCTGCTGCTGTGTTTTTAAATAGACAAATATTAAACGAGAAAGGAATCACCTACTCTGTCTCTGGCATATTCCGTACATTCTGAATTCCTCTCCTTGAGCCTTGTACATCCAGCATAGGGAAGGACAGAAGCAAGCTTGTAAATCCAATTCTAGTCATATAAAAACACAAGCCAGTGTTGCTGTGCTGTGGGTTAAGCTGCCACCTATAATGCCAGCATTCCATTTTTGGGCACCAGTTTGAATCCCAGCTGCTCTGCTTCTGACCCATCTCTCTATTAATATGCCAAGGAAATCAGCAAATGGCCTGAGTACATGGGCCCCTGCTATCCATGTAGGAGACCTAGCTGGAGTTCGAAGCTCCTGGCTTCTGGGAGTGAACCATGGGATAAAAGATTTATTTCGTTTTCTCTCCCTCCATGTGGCTCTGCCTTTCAAATAAATAAATAAATCTTAAAACACACACATACAAAACAGCCATTGATTATCACCGCTGTTATAAACCAAAACTTAAATATCAGTATGGCTTTTTTACCTGAATTAGGAATAAAGCATCTGGAATGAACTAATGCACATCATAACCTACATTTTTAGAAGGTAAGCTTAGCAGCTTAAACTTTTTACCTTACGATAATAAAAAGAAAAAAAAAAAAGTGATACATCATGGAAGGAGCAGACTTCTCACTGAGAGACACCATTCTATAGGCTGGCAAAAGTGTTCTCTAAAGCTCTACCACTGAAGCCTCACTCATAACCGATCTCTTGATTTCTAGTCCCCTCCTCCCAAACTTCAGAAACCAAAAACTTTTCAGCAATACTGGGGAATGAAAGGCTAAGGTTTTAGGGATACCAGAGAGAGGTTTACAGAAACCAACTGATTATCTGGTATTTGTATGTGGTCCACTTAAGCAGCTCTTTTCAGAGGACTGAAAGCCTCCACAGTAAAGTAGTTAGTTGTGAAGCTGTTGAACAGCTCTTCTGGGCTCACTCTTGGACATTCACTTCTAGAGTCCGAAACAAAATCCTTTTCAGGAACTTAAACAGACACTGAGTTTTGCGAAAATAAAGACTCAACCAGATTAATTTCTAGGCAAAGATGTGAAGATGTTCAGCCAGACTATCTGTCCACTATTGGCTCATACCAAAAAGAATTTATCTATATGTACTTATAACACTTTTCAGATTTCATTACTGAATATATGGTTAACAATCACTACTTCCATCAGTTAATAAAATATTGTTAGATAGTACACAGTACTGTACTGTACATAGCAGATATCCTGTACTGTGACTGCTGGACAGCAAAAAAAGCAATAGGAGATGGCCTAGATCTACATGGCTACCTCAAATAAAATACTTTTACTAAAGGTAAGAAATGGAACGAAAAATAAAAATTTGATCTGCAAATTAAAGCAAAAACTTACAATCAACTTGTTGAAAAGGATTTTGCAAAGGCACATAATTCCTCTAAAAGGTCTAGACCATAAAAACAACAACAACAAAAAATATCACCTCCTACTCCTCAACAAACTCCTGTTCCTTTTCCAGTCAATCACAGCTATGTAAACAATTACGTTCTTCCTTCTGCCTTGGAGTCAGAGAGAAAGCCTGAAAACCAAGTAGCTCACAGGGTTCTCAACATCTCATTCTTCTACCTAAATTACTGCTTTCTCATTACTCCAACTAAACAGTCACAGAAAAAACAACAAGCACCATCTCATAATTTATTCTGAAAAATCATAGCACAAAAACGCTGAAGAAACTACTCCATGCTTTCTTTGAACAGTTACCAGAAAAAAATTCTGAAAATTTGTCTGACACTTTTATTTGGATTTAATTTTCATTTTTAAAAATAACTTATCTTTCAATTCCATTTTCCATGATTTTTTTTTTTTTTTTTTTGACAGGCAGAGTGGACAGTGAGAGAGAGAGAGAGAAAGGTCTTCCTTTGCCGTTGGTTCACCCTCCAATGGCCACCGCGGCCAGTGCGCTGCAGCCGGCACACTGCGCTGATCTGATGGCAGGAGCCAGGTGCTTCTCCTGGTCTCCCATGGGGTGCAGGGCCCAAGCACCTGGGCCATCCTCCACTGCACTTCCCTGGCCACAGCAGAGAGCTGGCCTGGAAGAGGGGCAACCGGGACAGAATCCGGTGCCCTGACCGGGACTAGAACCCGGTGTGCCAGCACCGCAAGGCGGAGGATTAGCCTAGTGAGCCACGGCGCCGGCCTCCATGAACTTTTAAAAGTTTATCTTTTTTATCTAAAAGGCCAAGTGACACAGAGAGAGAAAAGCAAGGGAGAAAAAGACAAATCTTCCACCCACTAATTCTAATGCCCACAAAAGCCAGGGCAGGTCAGGCTGAAACAAGGAGCCAAAACTCCATCTGCATCTCCCACGTGGGAGGCAGAAACCCAAATACTTAAGCCATCATCTACTGCCTCCCAAGGCCTGAACTAGCAGAAAAGCTGGATCAGAACAGATCTGGGACTCAAACCCATGGAATTCAATACCATGCATGTCCTACTGCATCGAATGCCAGCTCCTGCTTATTTATTGTTTTTAAGAGGTTAAGGCAATTCTGTTTTGATATAATTTATAATACAGAAAAATTGTATTTTATTCTTTCTTCATTAACTTGGGTAAGGGTAACAAGACTAAAAGATGGATCAATATAACCACAACTACTGGTGAGTAAATGTTTTATTCTTCCTATGGCTAACACACCGTCCTATGTACTAGGGAGTTACCTGAAGAAAGAGACATCTGTGAACTCACTGCCCTTTAAACTTGTAATCAGAGATGAGAATGTGACTGGATACAAGGCATTGAGACACAGATACTAGGGATCTTCAAAAAATTCATGGAAAATGCATATGAAAAAACTGCATGGTTTTCAGAAGTCATTTGTACCACAATAAATCTTATGATTCCATTTCTCCATGAACTGTCTAAAGCACCTATGTATTACACAGCAGGCTAACATACAGCAGTAAAATCTGTTTTATACGGGAAGAGATCCAGACTTATCTGGGTGGATTTAATTCTTCCAAAAGGACCTGAGGGAAGTGTTGATGAAGGTTGTAATGAATCAAGAGAATTATTAATTATAGCTCAATGGATAGAATTTCGGGGGCTGGTGCTATGGAAAGTGGGTAAAAGCAGCCATCTGCAGTACTGGCATCCCAGTGCTGGGCTTCAGATCTGAAGCCAGGAGCCAGAGCTTCTTCCAGGGCTCCCACGCAGGTGCAGAGGCCCAAGGACTTAGATCATCTTCCACTGCTTTCCCAGGCCATAGCAGAGAGCTGGATCGGAAGTGGAGCAGCCGGGACATGAACCAGCGCCCATATAGGATGCTGGCCTGCAGATAGTGAGTTTACTCGCTATGCCACAGTGCCAGCCCCTCAATGGATAGAATTTCAACAAGGAGTTTGCATGGGCAATAAGGGCCTGAGATGTCAGCAAAACAATCAGTGTGGATACAGGGGAGGAGATTGAAGAGAAAACTTAGAAGGATGGATTGGAGTAAGCCTAGAATGGAGTACTAAGGATATGTAATTTATTCTGTAAGAGATCTACAACCATGAAGGATGTGTTTACAATAATGAGCAGAGATTTAAGGTGATTAGATTTACGGTATGGATGAACAGGAAGTATTAACAAGTGAAACGAAACAGGGAAAACAAAGTATTACCACAAGTCTAAGGAAAGATGTGATTAAGTAGAAAAATAAAAACTGTTTGAATTTAATCCTGATTCTATGAAACAAAACTTCACATTACAATTAAAACTATATTCACCCAAACACAGAAAAATGTCCACAAAAACACGTAACTAAAATGTTCACAGTGGTTACTTATAGTTATGGGATTTTGCGTAGTATTTGATTCTTTTTATACACTTTAGTTTACTGGGATGGGGTCATTTTATAAAATTAAGCAGAGATCAGAAAGTCATTTTTATTTTGAAAGATAACAAATGCTTGATGAGAGCAAAAGGTTATTTTGGTTTTATTTTTGTTGGAACAGGAAACCAATAATAAATCTATCTTGCATCTGTTCAGCTTGAGGTGCCAAAAAGGAACCCCAAAATCAGGGAAAATATACTCAAGTTTTAGCCGTGTTTTGTTTTTTTTGAGAAGGGGCAATAATACATATATTACAACACACCACACAAAAGTATCCTTTGACAGTACTTAGTATAACCTTAATAAAGCAATCCAGCTGAGAAAGTAAGATTTTCATTCATTTTGGAATCTCTGCACTTTTAAATGAGACAGCAACCAATAAAAACTACGTAGGTTAAATATATTTTGTACTTACTTACAAAGCTGCCTTAATGAATTAGTTCTGTTTGGAATAGTCAGTACCAGTGTTTTCTCTGGCAAGTTAACCTTGTCCAGCCTCCCTTACTACCTTCATCCCAACCTGGAACAAGCAAATCAACAGTCACCCACCCACTGTGGGTAGATAAAGACTTAAAAGAACTACAAACTATAAAACACTCTCCTGCATTTGAACCACAAGTACATATTACAACAGTGATGACCTTGTGAAGCCTTATGTTAAAGTTGCATACAGTGAGAAGTCTTTATGTTCAAACAGCACAGCCAGCCTAGGATAGATAACACTACAGAAAACATACCCCATTGGAAGCTTTCTTCTTCGCTTTCCATTCATCTAGTTGCGCCTTTGTCTTTGCATCAACTTTAACAAGCAGCTTCTTCTCTCCAATCTGCAGGTCATGCAATAATCTGAGTGCTCGAAGTGTAGATTCAGGCTCCTTATACTCACAGAATCCAAAAGCTAGAAAAGGATGTAAAGAATGAATGGCAATATCAATGGAATTATGAAAGATTAAAAGATATAGACAGGCTGGTGCTGTGGCGTAGCGAATTAAAGCCACGGCCTGCAGCGCCAGCATCCCATATGGGAACCAGTTCGAGTCCGGACTGCTCTGCTTATGATTCAGCTCTCTGCTATGGCCTGGGAAAGTAGCAGATGATGGCCCAAGTGCTTGGGCCCCTACAGGTGCATGAGAGACCTGGAAGAAGCTCCTGCCTCTGGATCTGCTCAGCTTTGGCCATTGCAGTCATTTGGAGAGTGAACCAGTGGATGGAAGACCTCTGTCTCTCACTCTCTGGCTCTACCGCTCTCTGTAACTGACTTTCAAATAAATAAAATAAAACTTAAAAAAAAAAAAATACATTTAGGGCAGCACTCAGGCACTAGGCTAATCCTCTGCCTACGGCGCTGGCACCCTGGGTTCTAGTCCCAGTTGGGGCGCCAGAGTCTGTCCCGGTTGCTCCTCTTCCAGTCCAGCTCTCTGCTGTGGCCTGGGAAAGCAGTGGAGGATGGCCCAAGTGCTTGGGCCCTGCACCCACACGGGAGACCAGGAGGAAGCACCTGGCTCCTGCCTTCGGATTGGCGTAGCAGCCATTTGGGGAGTGAACCAATGGAAGGAAGACCTTTCTCTCTGTCTCTCTCTTACTGTCTAACTCTGCCTGTTAAAAAGTATATAAAAAAAACAGCAAAGAAAATCACTGCAGATCAAATATTATAATATAAAGACTACTCAAACTGTCACTTCACTTGAGTCCTTCTATTACCGAAAATAATCATTTATTTATTTCACTTTCAGCACTCTCAAGCAATCAAGGGGTGAGGGGAACAAGGGAAAGAAAGAAAAATTTCAAAGACATATACACCTGCTGTTTATCAGATGTTCTAACAAATATTTAGCAGAGATGGCAGGTGTTTGGCACAACTTTAAGACCCCAGTGGAGATTCCCAGAATGCTTGGTTTGAATCCCTATACTTTTTTTTTTTTTTTTAATGATTTTTCTTGAAAGGCAAAGTGATGGAGATAGAGGAAGAGAAAGAGACAAAGAGATCTTCCATCCACTGGTTTCCTCCCCAAATAGCTAAAATGTCGAGGGCCGGGCTAAGTTGAAGTCAAGAGCCAGAAGCTTCATCTGGGTCTCCCAAATAGGCAGAAGGGGCCCAAGTACTTGAGTCATCTTCCACAGCTTTCTGGAGTCATTAACAGTGAGCTAGATCAGAAATGGAGCAGCCCAGACTCAAAATAGCATTACAGGCAGCAGCATATCCTGCTCAACCACAATGCTGGCCCCCAGAGACCCTGTTCCACTTTCAATTCATTTCCTGCTAATGCACACCCTAGCAGGCAGCAGGTAATGATGGCTGAAGTATCTGGCTCCCCGTCAACCAAGCAGGCGATCCAGACTAAGATCTGAGTTCTTGGCTTCAATCTGACCCATTCCCAGCTGTTGCTGGCAGTTGAGAAGTAAGCCAAATTTCTCACCACCTTTCAAATAAATAAAAATAAATGAAGCCACTGCTTGGGATACCCATGTCAGGCATGACAGTGCCAGATCAAGCCCTGCCTCTTCTTCCAATGCAAATTCCTGGGAATGTGCCTGAAAGCTGTAAGATGATGGCCTAAGGACTTAGGCCCCTGCTATTCATATGAAACGCTGAGTTCCTGGCTTCTAGATGCTAACTGGCCCACCCCTGGCTGTTGCAGGCAGTTGGGTAGGGAACTACCAGATGGAAAGTTTCTTCTTCTTTTTTTGTCATTCTGCTTTTCAAACAGGGGCAGGTGCTGTGGCGCAGTAGATTAAGCCACAAATTGCAACTCTGACATCCCATACTGGAGGGCTGGTTCAAGTCCAGGTAAAGGACTGGGGAAGCAACAGAAATTGTCTGAGTACTTGGGCCCCTGTCACCAGCATGAGAGACCGAGATGGAGCCCTGGACTCACAGCTTTAGCATGGCCCAGCACCAGCTTTTGTGGCTGTTTAAGCAGATGGAAGATCTCTCTCTCTGTCCCTGTCATTCAAATAAACAAATCTTCAAAATAAATTAAAAAGTAAAAACTAAAACGAAAAAATGTAGTAGAATCAATTAATTTCATGACAAAAATGATTATTTCCTGAATTTATTCCACTGAGATTTCTTAGCTACAAACAAGAACAGACTATTTTAAGCTGATAAAGCATTTTACAAATCTGACATGTTGAATTAGAGAAGCAATGACCTTTCATCTTAAATATAAGTCTATTTTTTCTGAGTCTATTTCATTTTGTAGTCAATCATTAATTTTTTAAAAAGATTTATTTGAAAGCCAGAGTTACAGATAGAGAGACAGAGAAAAAGGTCTTCCATCCACTGGTTAACTCCCCAAATGGCCAGAACAGCTGAAGCTGAGCCAACTGAAGCCAGAAGCCAGGAGCTTCTTCTGGTTTCCCAAGCAGTGGTTAAGTCACTTCTTGGGATGCCTGCACCCCTTACCTCCCCTATTCCCAGGCCAGGAGCCAGGTGCTTCCTCCTGGTCTCCCATGTGGGTGCAGGGTCCAAGCACTTGGGCCATCCACCACTGCCCTCCTGGGACAGAATCCGGCGCCCCAACCGGGACTAGAACCCGGGGTGCCGGTGCCACAGGCGGAGGATTAGCCAAGTGAGCCGCGGCACTGGCCTAAATCAGAGATATTAAACTTAAAAAGAGCAATCAAAAAACTGAAAAAGAAAAATCAATGAAGATCAGTGTCTGCTAATAATAATTCATAGAATTAAAAAGGAGAGAACGATCCAACATGAGAAGAAGGACAAAGAGCAGACCCATAGAATGGCAGATGTCCTAGACAGCACTCTGGCTCAGAATCAGCCCTTAAGGCATACGAATCAGGCTAAAAAGCCATGATAGTTTCTCAAGCATGGAAAGCCAAAAAAAATGACCTAAATGAAAGATGTCTGAGTGAGATCCCAGTGAAAAGAACAGGCCATCAAAGAAGGAGGTACCTTTCTCTGAAGGGAGGAGAGAACTTCCACTTTGATTATGGCCTTGTCTAAATAAGGTTGGAGTTTGTGAACTCAAGAGGCTTCCATAGCCTTGGCAGCTCACGACAAGAACCTCAGGTGATTACTGACGTCATAAATAATAGTGTCAGTTGTTAAATCAACAATGGGAGTCACTGTGCACTTACTCCCCATGTAAGATCTCTGTCCTTAACATGTTGTACTATGAGAATTAACAGTAAAACTAGTCCTCAAATAGCACTTTATATTTTGTGTGTCTGTGTGGGTGCAGACTGTTGAAATGTACTAAGTATGTACTAAGCTGATCTTCTATATATAAAGATAATTAAAAATGAATCTTAATTAAGAATGGGATGGGAGAGGGAGTAGGAGATGGGATGGTTGCGGGTGGGAGGGAGGTTATGGGGGGAAAAGCTGCTATAATCCAAAAGTTGTACTTTCAAAATTTTTATTTATAAATAAATGTTTTCTAAAAAAAAGAAAAAGAAAATCAAATCTAAATATGTGTAATGACACAACCACAGAGGGCGACTGAGAGAAATATCAATTCTCTTTTCCGCATTCTAACCTCAAATTTCAGTTAACATCTTCCATCTGCAATTTTTTCCTGTTATTACGTAGAAAGGGGGTGCTAATAAAATACCACCCATTGTTAAAGGACAATGAGAGTAAAACATCTAATGTGATTTATACAAACAGGTTAAAGTGATCTCAAATAAAGTATGACCTACCTTGTAGTTTTCCAGACGCTCCTTGGACTCTCTTCCAGCTCAAAACTAAGCCACATTTCTTAAAAAAATGAGGACAAAAAAAAATCATTACCATTTAATGATATAGTTTTAATCCAAGGTATAATTACATTCCCACTAGAGGAGAAAATGCTAACAAAGCAAAATAAAGAAATCCACAAAAACACCACCAAAAAAAAAAAAGTCACTATAACAACAAAAACAACAACAACAACAACAACAAAAGGAATATCCAAGCAACTAAGTTTGTTAAAATTCCTCGATTCACACAAAGCTATCTATCACATATGAAAGCAATACAACAAATCTCTTAAACAGATTTTTAGCATGGTAAAGTGCTTCATAGGCTGATATGTAGGACAGCAGATTTTAAAGATTTTAATAATGCAAAAAAGTATTTCTGTAAAATGATTAAGAAATATTCCAAAGGGCTAGGCTGTCTTAGGGGTGGGGCATTATTATTGCATTCTCAAAGAAGGTAAAAAGATATTATTTGTAGAATATAACTGAAGATCACACGTCAAAGCTGATAATAAAAACATTTTTCATATCAACCTTCAGAAAAACCATTAAGAATATAAAAGATACCGACAAAGTCAACTGGATGAAGAAAGAGCCATAGAAGAGATTTCAATAAAATATTTTTTAAAAGACTTTATTATTTATTTGAAAGGTAGAGCTAGACAGCTAGAGCCAGAGAGAGAGAGAGGCAGAGACAGAAATCTTCCTTCTGCTGTTCTGCAAATGGCCTCAATGACTGGAACTGGGCTGATCTGAAGCCAAGAGCCAGAAGCTTTTTCTGGATCTCCCAATTGGGTGCAGGAGCCCAAGTATTTGGGTCATCTTTTGCTGCATCAAAGGCATGTTAGCAAAGAGCAGGAATGGAAGTGGAGCAGTTTGGTCTTGAAGCGGTGTCCATATGGAATGCCAGAGTCGCAGGTGGTGGCTTTACCTGTCACACCACAAAGCCAACCCTCTTCAACAAACTTTTGAAAAGATAGGAGGCACATGGATGGGTAGTAATTCAGTAGAAAAAAGAAAGCAGGAACTGAGAAAGAATATTAAGGTCTGATAATGAGCTGAACTAGAGTAAGAAGTACACAGGAAAATGGAATTTGAGGCTAAGAAACAGGTACCTGCCTGACATTATGAATATAGAATAATCAGGACATCTTGGTTCAAAACCTGAAGAAAGTAAACAGAACAGACTTGGAATGTGCAACCAAATATTACAGAACACCTGGCAGAGTACAGAGTGAGTAACATGGGAATTAAATAAAGGCTTTTTACAGGAGATGGTTGAACTAAGTTCATCATTCCCAACCCTATACAGCCTACCCAACCGTATGCACTAGGCATGAAGTTTTCCAGAGAAACCAACCAGCCTCACAGAAAAAACTTCTACATATTAACATTCCAAACGAAGCCCCACAATTTACAAACCCAGCTCGGGCACACAAAAACCTTTTAAATCATAACTTGCAAATATGAACAACTGATGATCACCATTTACAAAAAAGTCTTTAAAAAGCAAAGGGAAAGGAGTATGAGGCATTTGCACTACCACCAAGATAAAAAATTTTCAATCATGATGAAAAAGAAAATTGGTGTCTTACCAAAATATAAATAACTTATAATCATTATGCTCAAAATACTGTAAAAAGAAGCAGTCAATCATCACTGAACACTAGAATCATTGTTTTAAGGAAAGCTAAACCCAGAGACTACTTACAAATAACAAGGGGAAGACATATGATCATCTTAACTAAGTAGCTCTTATGTCTTCTGCCATGCTGCCCTGAGAATACATTGCACATGAAACAGTCTTGAAAAAGAACTCGACTCTAACTATGAATAAACAATCTGTCAAACCCAAACATTCTTCAAAAGATCTAGAATCTTCAAAAATATTAATGTAATGCAAAACAAAAAAAAAAAAAAAAAAAACAAGCAAACCAACAAAAAAGGTAGGGAACTTTCCTATATTAATGAAGCTATCTATAGGAGCATGGTAGAGTAGACATTTGGACAGTGGTTAAGATACTGCTTGCGATGCCAGCATCCATTATCAGAGTGGCTGGGTTTGAGACCTGGCTCTACTTCCAATTCCACTTTCCTGCTAATGAGCACTCTGGGAGGCAGCAGGTGGAAGACCAGATTGAATTCCAGGCTTCTGGCTTTTGCCAGGCCCAGCCCATTGTTGCAGGCATTTGGGTAATAAAAAAGAGGACTGAAGATCTCTCTATCCACCTCTGTGTCTGCCTTTCAAATAAAAGGAAAAATAAATTAGAAGATTTTTTAAAATATTAAGAGGTAGGGCTGGAGTAGTGGGACAGTAGGTTAAGCAGCCACCTATGCCGCTCACAGAGGAGGTTCATTGAAAAAACCAAGTGTGTTTACTTATTGCTTCCACATTTCCATCAGATCAGAATATTTTAAGATAAAAAGTTGAGAGAAAATAACCATTCAGAATGCTCTTTCTGCTTTTAAGTTTGAAATTTATAACAAAACTTTTAAAGTAAAAAGTAGTTCAACTTACAGCTAAAAGCTGTCTTATAAGCATGTCTGAGGCTTTTTCAGAAATGTTGCCAACAAAAACTGTGGTGGTGGGACCACAATTTTCATCATTTTCTTTAGTCTTTAAGCCGGGATGATCCTTTCTTGCTCCTAAATGCTTTCCAACCATGGACACAGTGGGTACCAAGACCTAAAGGGAAGAAAGGCAATAAAATTTGATATAATTAAATTTTTTCATATTTAATGTAACACTAAGCTAAAAAACATCGACTTTAAGGTTGTAAATATAAATAGTACATTATCATCAAAGCTGCATTAAAAGCTGAAACTGAACATTTCACTTACATAAACTTATCTTTAACCAGAAAACTTTCATTATTAAATTGTTTCTTAAAAAAAAAAACTTGGAAAAACAAATAAAAATATCTAAATAGCCAAATTTTTTCCATATCAAGTATTCTCAGTCCCAGTATAAAAGCAAATTCCAATTACCCCTGTTAATGCTCCAGGAGAATGTTCATATATTCTATAGCATTAATATCACTTACATTTTGCCTTTTTTCTTAAAAAAAAATGTATTTGTTACTTATGTTCCTAATTTATTTTTCATTTATAACTTTTAGCCTCTCAGAGAAACAAACAGATCTTTGTACTTGACAATGATATCAGTAAATCACACTTGATAGGCACTGAACAAACTATGAACTAGGGAAGCTGCTCCAAACCCCAATTTCACTTTTCCTAGTATACAAAACAAGAGGCAAAAGTACTTTAGTTGCAGGCTTTCTTAAATAGGCCAACTGTGTGGGTGTCCAACGCAAAAAATCTGAACGCCCCCATGGTCTGCCTCACAGCAGCCTCCTGTTTGCCCATGGAGCTCCTCTCTCCCTTTTACTATGAGTAACACTGTCTTATCCTTTCAAAACTCACAGATGGGAGGAAAAGTTGGATGGAAGGAGATCTCTCTTTTACAGAATTCCACATTAAGCCCATTATAACAATTAACTCAAAAATTATAAAATTATTACAAATGTAGTAATTATAATTATAACATAATTTTATGGTTATAAAAGTTAAGAATTATTATTTATTCCTGTACTACACTACAGCAACATTTGTTATTAAGATGCCTGGTACAAACAGCAGCATTGATGAATGCAGAGAATCAGGGTTTATGATCTAAGAATGAATAGAGCACTTCAGGAGACACAAGAAAGGCTTACAAATCTTGAAGATACCATGCTACAAGACAGAGGTAAGATGAAACAGCTTGGGACAGAGTATAAGCTGGAGGTGGTAGGAAATAGTAAGATATTAAAGACAAATGTTTTTTTCTTCTCTCTCTTTTTTTTTTTTTTTTTGGACAGGCAGAGTGGACAGTGAGAGAGAGAGACAGAGAGAAAGGTCTTCCTTTGCCGTTGGTTCACCCTCCAATGGCCGCCGCGGCCAGCGTGCTGCAGCCGGCACACTGCGCTGATCTGATGGCAGGAGCCAGGTACTTTTCCTGGTCTCCCATGGGGTGCAGGGCCCAAGTACTTGGGCCGTCCTCCACTGCACTCCCGGGCCACAGCAAAGAGCTCGCCTGGAAGAGGGGCAACCGGGACAGGATCCGGCGCCCCGACCGGGACTAGAACCCGGTGTGCCGGCACCGCAGGTGGAGGATTAGCCTATTGAGCCACGGCGCCGGCCAAATATTGTTTTAAAACTTAAATTTTTTAATTGGAAGAATCAGACATGCCAGATATTCTACCATCTCCCAAGAGAAGATAAAGAGGAGGAAATGATGAAAGAGCCAATGTTTTAAATCTTTAATACAACAAGTATATGAAGAGTCTAGATAGAGTAAAGGGAAAAAACATAAAACTATCAATTTAAGGAGAATATTTTAGGGGCAACTGCAAAAGGCACAGCTGAGTGAAAACAATACTTATGCAATGTAAATGGTTTAATAGTAATGTATGCTCTCTCTTCCATTGCTCTTCTAAACATATAATCAAGGTTTTTTAGCTTTAAAAGCATAAGAACTGTCATAATTCCTAGTCACTTCATAAATTATACTTACAGTTGGAGCAGGAGCCATAATGCTCATTGGTACAGGTATCATGGGAGTCCCTGAAAAAGGAAAAAAGTATAACAAATCTTCTGAATACTATCTGTATGGCTATATTCTCTGAGTGACATAATATAGAAGCATAACCACTCATACTGAATGGAAATAAAGGAAAAATGAAGACACTGATGAGTAATGTCTTATTTTCAAAAGCAATGTAAACAAACAAATAAAAGAACAAAAATAATGTAGTAACAGTTTGGCATATATAAATTTACCAAAAAAACAAAAAACAAAAAAATATTCTTAATGTAAAATGATTACCACAACATGCTCTGGACAGTTAAACAGTCCATGTTCACTGATTCAATGACTCTCAAAACAAGTACCTTCCTCAAATACAGACTCACAGTAAATGCCAAAAAAAATTATCAATCCTTTAAAACATTATACAAGATGGTAAATACAGTTAAGAACAATTTATTTGGGGCTGGTATTGTGGAATATCGGGTAAAGCTGCTGCCTGCAATGCCAGCATCCCATATGGGTGCTGGTCCTTACCCCAGCTGTTCCACTTCAGATCCAGTTCACTCTACAGAGTGAACCAGCAATGGAAAACCTCTCTGTTTTTCCCTGTTAACACTAATTTTCAAACAAATAAGTAAATCTTAAAAAATAAATAAATAAAGGTATATTCTTAAAAATTGCTGAGATAACTTTTCACCACACAAAAAAAGATTAAGTAATTAAATTTTGCTAATTAGCTCAATTTCCCATTCCACAATGTATACAATTTCAGAACAATATGTACTCAATAAATAGATAAAACTTTATCAAATAAATAAAGTAAAATATAATCTTGTTATTGGGTTTTTCTTCTCTCTCTTTTTTAAAGATTTATTTATTCATCTGAAAGACAGAGTTGAAAGAGATCTTCCACCTACTCATTCACCCTCAAATGGCAGCAATAAAAGTGACTGGGCTGAGCCAAAGACAAGAGCCTGGAAATTCTTCTGGATCTCCCATGTGGGTGGCAGGGGCCCAAGGTTTTGGACCATCTTCCCATTTTCCCAGGTACATCAGCAGGCATCTGGATCAAAAGTGGAGCAGTCCAGACTCAAACCAGCACTCATACAGGATGCCAGCCTCACAGGTGGCAGCTTAATCAACTGTGCCACAATATCAGCTCCAGTTGTTAGTTGAAAATAGTACAAATGGGAGCCAGCATTATGGTGTAGCAGGTAAACCCATGGCCTGTGATGCCAGCGTCCCATATGAGCGCCTGTTTGTTTCCCACCCGCTCCACTTCTGACTTAGCTTCCTGCTAATGTGCTTGGGAAAAGCATCAAAAGACAGCCCAAGTCGTTGGGCCCCTGCCACCCATGTGTGAGACTCACAGAAACTCCTGGATTTGGCTTTGCTCAGCCCTGGCCATTGCAGTCATCTAGGAAGCGGACCAGCAGATGCAAGGCTGATCTCCCTCTATGTCTCTCCCTCTCTCTGTAACTCTTTCAAATAAAAAAAGATCTTAAAAAGTACAAATGAGACATTAACCTGGAAATCTAATAATCTTATTATTCCTGATTTTTTCTTAGAAAATGTCACACACACAAAAAAGTAGAGTCAGAGAGAAGCCCAGTATCTGCTGTTCATCGTAGCGGCTATCTTCTAGTGAAATCTTAAGACTGTATCTGTTTTCAACCACACTGTTTACAAATCAATATGAGCTATATATTGAGAGTCCTCTGTTCATGTAAGTAAGGAAGAAACAGTACCATTTGAGAATTTAAAAAAAAAAAAAATGCTTGCAAAGAGGGCAAGATTTTTTATTAAATAATTCTGGAAAAACGTAATTATTTTTATTTTATTTGAAAGGAGAGAAGAGACCTATCTGTTGGTTCAATTCCCACAACTGCCGAAGCTGGGCCAACCTGGAGCCAAGAACTCAAAACACAGGCAGTATAGTATGGGATGCAGATATCCTAAGCTCATCTTAACCACTGTGCTAAATATCCATCTCAAAGCAATATTAAATATTTATTCATACCTAATCTTTAAAATGTATCAGTTCAAGCTTAAAATCAATTTAAGATAATTCTCCATCTAAGACTGGTATTTTTAAATATCAAACACTATCCCATATTTCAAAAAATGATTTTTAAAGGTACAATCTAGATTACAATCTACAAAGTCTATTTTGCAGAATAAATTGTGCAAAAACAGAAAAAAACAGAGTTTAGAATCAAATTTGGAGGGCTGGTGTTGTGATGCAGCAGGTTAAGGTGCCACCTGCAACGAAGGCATCCCATATGGGCGCCTGTTCATGTTCTGGCTGCTCCACTTCCAACCCAGCTCCATGCTGACACACCTGGAAAAGCAGAGGCAGGCAGATGATCCAAGTGTTTGGGCCTCTGTCACCCATGTGGGAAACTCAGATGAAGCTCCTGGTTCCAGCCTGGCCCAGCTCCTGTGGCCATTCAGGGAATGAATCAGCAGATAGAGGACCTCTCTCCCTCCCTCTCTCTCTCTCTCTCTGAGTATGTGTGTGCAACTACTTTTCAAATAAATTAAATAAAGCTTTTTAAAAAATCAAATCTGGGTTCAATTCTTGGTTCCATCATTTCCATCAACTCAACCTTAGACAAGCATTTTATCTTAAAGCTGCAGTTTTCTCAATTATATTGATGAAATTACTTCCCCCAGCATGTCTGTCAAATTGAGGTAATTTATGTGAACCACTTAAACACAGTGAACACTCAAGACTATAATCAACTTGTATCTACATTCTCTACTGTAACTCTGAACACTGAAGCACTCCTCATTTACCAACTGTAATCTATATTGCAGTTCTTCCATAAACTTTCTATCAAAGAAAACATTCAGAAAACAAACCCTGAACAGTTATTTTCCTTAGCACAGACACTGAAGGTAAATTTCCTACCTGAATTCAGAAATTTCATGAAATGTAGGACATACTGCCACTTACTAAAGAGACCTACATATGCTAAATAAAGCAAAAAGAAGTAAAGTATACAAAGCATGAACAGTATGTAAGTATTTGAGGTTCTAGAAGTAAGGAAAAGATGAAAACAGCAGACAGGTCAAGGGGTAAAAAAAAAAGACTTAATATAACTCTAACTAAGTCTCTGACACGGATGACATGGGCCCAAGCACCTGGATCATCTATAGTCTGCTACCTCCCAGGTACAATAGCAGGGAGAGTATCAAAAGTGGAGCAGCCAGGACTCAAACTAGTGCTCCAATATGCAGCTTCATCAGCTGCATCACAAGGCCCGTCCAGGCATTAATACTTTCTAAGGAAAAATAATGCTCCCTTTCCATTTTTTTTTTTTTTTTTAAATTTAAAGACAGAGTTACAGAGAGGTAGATACACACAGAGATGTCTTCCATCTGCTGGTTCACTCCCCAAATGGCCACAACGGCTGGAGCTGGGCCAATCCAAAGCCAGGAGCAAGGAGCTTCTTTCAGGTCTCCCATGTGGATACAGGGGTCCAAGTACTTGGGCCACCCTCCACAGCTTTCCCAGGAGCATCAGCACGGAGCTGGAGCGAAATGGAGCAGCCGGGACTTGAACCAGCGCCCATATGCGATGCTGGCTGCTGGCCAGGGCTTTAACCCATTATGCCACAGATCCAGCCCCTCCAAATGTTTTTTCTTATTTCAAAGTCAGAGTTACAGAGAGGCAGAGAGAGAGGCAGAGAGAGGCAGAGAGAGAGAGAGAGAGAGAGAGAGAGAGAGAGGTCCTCCATCTGATTGTTCATTCCCCAGATGGTTGCCAACTGCCAGAACTGCAGCAATCCTAAGCCAGGAGCCAGGAGCTTCCTCCAGATCTCCCACACGGGTGCAGAGACCCAAGAACTTGGGTCATCTTCTATTGCTTTCCCAGGCCATAGCATAGAGCTGGATTGGAAGTGGAGCAGCCAGGACTCGAACTGGCACCCATATGAGACGCCAGCACTGCAGGCAATGGCTTTACCCACTACACCACAGAGCTGGCCCCCAAATTTGTTTTCTAAAGCAATGTATATGAGTTGCCGGCGCCGTGGCTCACTAGGCTAATCCTCCGCCTAGCGGCGCCGGCACACCGGGTTCTAGTCCCGGTAGGGGCGCCGGATTCTGTCCCGGTTGCCCCTCTTCCAGGCCAGCTCTCTGCTGTGGCCAGGGAGTGCAGTGGAGGATGGCCCAGGTGCTTGGGCCCTGCACCCCATGGGAGACCAGGAAAAGCACCTGGCTCCTGGCTCCTGCCATCGGATCAGCGCGGTGCGCTGGCCGCAGCGCGCCGGCCGCGGCGGCCATTGGAGGGTGAACCAACGGCAAAAGAAAGACCTTTCTCTCTGTCTCTCTCTCTCACTGTCCACTCTGCCTGTAAAAAAAAAAAAAATAAATAAATAAAAAATAATAATAAAGCAATGTATATGACTAGAAACTTTATTATCTAATTTGGAACTCAATTAATTGCACCGAAGAGTTCAGTTAATTATACTCATAGGCAAGATAATTATAAATAAAAACAGGTATTGTGGTTTTGGCATTCTACTATTTTATTATTTACCTCTTACACAGGATGCAAGTAATGACTGAGTTATAATTGAAATCTGCCTTAGCAACCAAGCCAAAGTATGTTTTGCAGAAATGATGTTGTATAGTTACATATGGAATCAGAATTTTAACAGCATTAGACTCTGAATAATCATCCCCATTAGTATGACATCATCTAACAGTCAACCAAAAATACTGGAAATCTGGTTTTAGAATCAGATGACCCATTGTAAAAGATATGCAGAAAAAGCCTTAAGAGAAGTATATTCCACTTACATTTACAGTTTGGAATACTGACACTTTTTATTTTTGGTTTAAGTCATCAAAGTATTTTAAAATATTTTCTTGGGGTTGATATTATGTGCAGCAGATTAAGCCACTGTCTGAGACACTGACATCAATATGAGTGCCACTTCCAGGCCCAGCTGCTCCACTTCTGATCCATCTCCTCGCTAACACACCTCAGAAAGCAGTAGAAGACGGCCCAAGTATCTGGGCCCCTGATACCCATGTGGGAGACCTGGAAGAAGCTCCAGGCTCCTGGTTTTGGCCTGGCCCCCACACTGCCTTTTGTGGCCATTTGGGGAGTAAACCAGCAGATGGAAGCTCGCTCTCTAACTATTTCAAATAAATTAATAAATCTTAGAAAGAAAATCGTATCCTACTTTTTTACTCCTCAATAAATGCATAAGTAGTTATTCTAGCTTTTAATTTATCTGAAAGGTAGACAGAGACAGAGAAACACAAGTTCAGACAGATTCTTTCCATCTGCTGGTTTGGAACTTGAACCTAGGCACTGTAATGTGGGGTGAGGGCACCCTAAGCAGTGTCTTAAATGCTTTATCAACTACTTACCTCAATTCTAACTTTTTAAATTATGATACTTCCCAAAATCCTCTAAATTTTAAAATAATTTTCCACAAAAACTTTCACATTTATCTTGTGGCTTTTCAGACCCAGGGGTGCGACAGCCTCTAAAGTGAAGCCTAACTCAAAATTAGAGTAGTCTCATATAAAATACAGGAGATCTGTTTGTGCAACCTCTGTAAAGGACATGCTATGAATTTACTCTTCAAATGAGCCAACTGTAAGGTACTGCAAATGACTTTGCAACAAGGAACCTCTTTGGTAAAACACTAGAATTTCAACAGAAAATCTGATGGTTAAAAACAGGTCCCTGAGGCAGGTGCTGTGGCATTGTAGGCTAAGCCTCCAACTGACACACCAGCATCCCATATGGGCACCGGTTCGTGTCCCTGCTGTTCCTCTTCCGATCCAAAACAGGTTCCTGATATAAAGTTTTCTTCAAATACTTCAAATGATTTACAAGATCATTTGCTCATTTCAAACTAAATCATACAAGTGCTATGTCAAAATACTCCTAACATGCAAACTATGGGAGCTCTTAGACACAGTATTATCTTTTGGGAGGGTGGGGGAGGAAACTTGATTTTGTATGAAATGCTTTTAACCCACTAAAACAGATACCCATGCACCTAAGGAAAACTCTCTTGCCTTTAGGCCAAGAAATGTTAGCTATGTACTGCAGGATAATGGTGCTCAACTTTGGGTTCCCTATGCTTAAATGAATGAATATCTAGAATCACCTGGGAACTTTATAAAGACCCAAGGCCTGTCAAAAAAAACTTCTCAGATCCATATAAACCAGATATAAAATCTCCTGCCACAAAAAAATGAAATATTCAAGCTTCCAGATAGATGCTAACAGAGATTTTCACTACTAATATATTCGCACATTATCATTTACTTAAAGTTAAGGTCACAATGACAAAAGTAGATTTTTTTTAAAAAAAGAACAACTTACCTGGAGGTACAGGTGGAGGAAAGCCCGGAAACTGTGGGGGTGGGATCCCTGGTGGGAGGGCTGGAATTCCCATGGGAGGGCGATTCAAATGAGGGGGGAAAGACATTCTTACTGCAGCAGTCTGAAGAAAGAAACCACAACAAATTATTTTATTTGAAAACCTTACAATTACATATGTCTGGTTTGTTGGCATTCATTTTTAGAGCATCTGCAAAACTCTAAGTTTTCTTAGCCAAAGGAGTTGGCAAAGACCCTCTTTTCTCTGTCCATTGAGAATTTTTAAAACTTAGATCTTTTCTAAAGTAAGTTCTCAAAACATACAGAATCTAAGTTCAAGATAGACTCCTACAATCATATGGGACATATAAAAAAAAAAATTTGAGGTTCAGTCAATGTTCAAAAATTAAATTCCAAACATCAATGAATCTTTAAAACCAAACTCAGAACCAGAAGGAATCTTAACAGTTTTTCCTTTAAAGTGCTCTGATGCACACATCAGTACTCTGGAAACTAAAATGTCACAAAGTTGCTGGTGCAGTTGGCCAGTTCCTCAAAAACAATATGCCAGTGAACTACAAACCTGAAGGAGAAACAAAAACTCCTAATGTCACGTCACACAGTAACAATTCAAATAAAAAGAGGAGGGACCAGTGCTGTGGCACAGTGCGTTAAGCCGTGGCCTGCAGTGCCAGCATCCCATCTTCCGTTCGAGTCCCGGCTGCTCCACTTCCGATCCAGCTGCTATGGCCTGAGAAAGCAGTGGGGGACAGCACAAGTCTTTGGGCCCCTGCATCCACATGTGGGAGACCCAGAGGAAGATTCTGGCTCCTGGCTTCAGATCAGCTCAGCTCTGACCATTGCAGTCATTTGGGGAGTGAACCAGCGGATAGAAGCTCTCTCTATCTCTCTTTGGCTCTACCTCTCTCTGTAACTCTGTTTCAAATAAGTAAAATAAATCTTTTTTTTTAATTTATTTGAAAAGTAGAGGTATAGATAGAGAGACAGAGAGAAAGATCTTCCTTCCATTGGTTCACTCCCCAAATGGCTACTATGGCTGGCGCTGCGCCGATCCAAAGCCAGGAGCCAGGTGCTTCCTCCTGGTTTCCCTTGCGGGTACAGGGTCCCAAGCACTTGGGCCATCCTCCACTGCCCTCCCGGGCCACAGCAGAGAGCTAGACTGGAAGAAGAGCAACTGGGACTAGAAGCTGGTGCCCATATGGGATGCCGGCGCCGCAAGCGGAGGATTAACCAAGTGAGCCATGGCGCCGGCCCCTAAATTAAATCTTTAAAAATAATTATAAAATGAGGAGATACAGCTTGTGACAAGAAAGAAGTTATTGGGGGCTGGCACTGTTGGCACAGCAGATGAAGCCACTGCCTGCAACACCAGAATCTTATATAGGCAGAGTCCTGGCTGCTCTGCTTCCAACTCAACTCTCTGCTAATGTGCCTGGGAAAGCAGTGAAAAAGGGCCCAAGTGCTTGGGCCCCTGCCACTCAAGTGGGAGATCCTGAAGGAGTTCCAGGGTCCTGTCTTTGTCCTGACCTAGGCCTGGCTACTACAATCATTTGAGGAATGAGCCAATGGGCGAAAAGATCTCTCTCTCTCTCTAACTCTACTTTTCAAAGAAATAATTAAAAAAAAAAAATTGAGGAATGTGTAACTGCTTAAATCTCAAAAGCTATCTCTTTTTCCCCCAAGAAACCATTCATTTAATGAGTTTAAATTTCCTAAGTACTTCTTTAGGAATATAATGATTCTTCCTATCATACCTGCCCTCCCACCCCTACTCCTACCTCTCCCATTTCCAGTTCCATTCTCCATTAAGGAAAACAAACAAACAAAAAAAAAACTGTTCCTCAACAGTCAAGACAAGGGAATAAATGTGTTTTGAAAAGTTAAAATTTTTCTTAAAAACAAATCTGTTAGCTATTCTCCAAATTCAACAATCAAATTACTAGTATTTGATTTTAAAAAAACAGAACATACTGAACTGTTTAGTTTGTCATATTAGCACAGAAAATACTGCCATTTAAGTGAAAATAAATATTTACATTTACTCCCTTAAAATTTTATATTGTCAAAATATTTAGACATCTAGAACTATTGAAAAAGTAAAGGGGCAGGTGCTGTGGCATAGTGGGTAAAGCTGCAGCCTGCAATGCTGGCATCCCATATGGGCGCTGGTTCAAGGGCTGCTCCACTTCCCATCCAGCTCACTGCTGTGGCCTGGGAAAGATGGCCCAAGTCCTTGGGTCCCTGCACCCATGGGGGAGACGTGGAAGAAGCTCCTGGCTCCTGGCTTCAGATCGGTGTAGCTCTGGCCATTGTGGCCAATTAAGGAGTGAACTGGCGGATGGAAGATCTCTCTCTCTCTCTGCCTCTCTTTCTCCCTCTGTGTAATTTTGACCTTCAAATAAATAAATAAATCAAAAAAAAAAAAAGAAAGAAAGAAAGAAAGAAAGAAAGAAAGAAAAAGTAGAAAAACAATGTTAGAATGTCTTAGGTGGGATCCATGTGCCATTAAAAAAGGGGGGCAGCAACAATAAGCTGGTTGATCCCATGAGAGTAATAGCGCTAAAATCAGCGATCTGATACACAGATTATTTCTGCTGAACACTAGGAAAAATGTCCCTACTCTGATAAAATCTAGACTTCATATAAGATTTTCAAAAAGGTCTGTCTACTATTTTCTCTTTTGAAATTCATAATTATTTTACTCACACTCACAAGACAGAAGATTAACAGTACAATTCTTCCAATCCCCTAAACCCAAGTTTGGTGTACTATGTTGTCCTAAATATCTTGGCAATTTACACAAATTTTTTTTTTTACTAAAATGTAATCATGCATACTGTTTTGTACATTTCTCCCTCATTACTTCTGACACTTCTTCATAACAAATCATAAAGTTGTATTCCAGTGTGTGCAATGTGGTACTTACCATAACACAGAAATACAACATTCAATCAACATTAATGGCTGGCTCTACTTTTTAGCTCTTATGGATAATGTAATATTCTTGGACATACAAGAGGCATTCTACAAGTTCATGGAAAATGCATATTACAAAACAAGCAAGTCTGGGCCAGCGCCGCGGCTCACTAGGCTAAACCTCTGCCTTGCAGTGCCGGCACACCAGGTTCTAGTCCCAGTCGGGGCGCCAGATTCTGTCCCGGCTGCCCCTCTTCCAGGCCAGCTCTCTGCTGTGGCCTGGGAGGGCAGTGGAGGATGGCCCAAGTGCTTGGGACCCTGCACCTGCATGGGAGACCAGAAAGAAGCACCTGGCTCCTGGCTTTCGATCGGCGCAGCGCCGGCTGTAGTGGCCATTTGGGGAGTGAACCAACGGAAGGAAGACCTTTCTCTCTGTCTCTTTCTAACTCTGCCTAAAAAAAAAGTCATGCTACGAATTCATCTTCATAACCATTTTTTCCCTATCAATATTATAAATAAGTTTAAAAGCCAAAAATAGCATTCATTGTGCTTAAATTGTATTTTACAGCTTTAAATATACAATTTATTTGTTGTGTTAATCAGATATATGTAATTTTCGTTTATGTCCATAGTCCCATTCCATTCACTTTAAAAATATATATATTTTATTTATTTGAAAGACAGAGTTACAAAGAGAGGCAGAGCCAGAGACAGGTCTTCCATCTGCTGGTTCACTCCCCAGATGGCCACAATGGCCAGAGCTGAGCCTATAGGAAGCCATGAGCCAGGGGATTCTTCCAGGTCTCCCAGGTGGGTGCAGGGGCCCAGGGACTTGGGCCATCCTCTACTGCTTTCCCAGGCCACAGGAGAAAACTGGATCAGAAGTGGAGCCGCCAGGACTCGAACCAGCACCCATATGTAATGCCTGCCTCACTGTGCTATATAGCGCTGGCCCCTCCATTGACTTCTAGTATTTTTATGAGCTCTTTCCCTTGTATTTGGAGCTGCTCATAACTAGTTTACTCACAGGCTAGATTTTCAAGTTAAAGGTAAAAATACCAGCTAAGAGCTAATTTTTACAAATTTTCCTTTAAGATAATGGTCCTACCTATGGAAATTAAGAGAGCAAACATTTCTGGTATTCTTTGGTAAGTATTAATGTTCACTCTAAACATCCTAAATTGAGAATATCAACTACTTATTTCAATATAGTTTTACATATGTTGTCATGTGAAAATGATCTGAGAATAAACTTCTACAACTATGAGCAAAACTTATCAGCTGTTTCCTACACATGAAAAAATAAGTAATAGCAATCACAAATTATATACGCTTTGAAAACAGATAGGTTCTTTGTAGTGACTAAAAAAAAAGTAAGCAGGGGGCAGATGTTTTGACATAGCAGATAAAGCCACTGCCTGTCAACACCAGCATGCCTTAGGGGCACCTGTTCCAGTCCTGGCTACTCCACTTCTGATTCAGCTCCCTGTGAATGGCCTGAGGAAGGAGCTCAAGATGGCCCAAGTGCTCCAAGTGCACCAATATGGGAGACCTGGAAGAAGCTTCAGGCTCCTGGTTTTGGCCCCACCCAGTCTGGGCTGTTATATCCATTTGCAGACTGGACCAGAAGATTGGAAGTACTCTCCCTCTCTCTGCCTTTCAAATAAATAAATAAAGTATTAAAAAAAAAAAAAAACAGTAAGAAAGATAAGTAGGGAGTGGCCTATTTTAAATTGGATGATCAGGTCTCAACTGATTTAGCCAGAGATTTGAAAGAGGTTAAGGCAGGAAGCCCTATTCATAACTGGAGGAAGAGCTTTCCAAGCAAGGGAAATGGCAGATACCAAGAGCCTGAGGTACATGGTGTGTCTGAGGAAGAACAGCCAGATCAACAGTGTGGCTGGCGGAGAGGAAAGGAGGAAAATCAGTGATAAATACTGAGTAATACTTGGAGGTAGGGGAGCAGCATTCAGAGTATTGGGCTTTGTGACACCTACTTTTTACTCTGAGAAGGAAAACATCAAAAAGTGTTCTGCACTTACATTTTAACAGTATTGCTGGCCACTGTGCTAAAAAATTGGAAGAGAATATGCAATAATCCAGACAAGAGATAGTAACACAGAATAGGTGGTCCTGTGATATAGATTCTGGATGAATTTTTAAGGTAGCCAACAGGATCTGCTGAAG